ATGAAATTGCACCAGTAGTTTCTGAGTAGTCCGGACAAGCTTTTGTGTAGCTAGCAACCCTGAAAAAGCACATTTTTTATTCAAGGCCCAAAAATCATTCAACTGGAGAACCTGTCTTATATGCGCAAGGATGCCGATGATTTTCACAAGACTTGATACTCATCATTCCTGATAAGATTGGATGAAATTGCACGGAGTTGTCTGGACAAGTTTTGTGATAGACGGACAAATGGACAGAAAATGGAGAAGAGATCCCTATATACAGAGTAATGGTGACACATAAAACAGTGTACATGTCTAATGTGATTGATATCTTGTTAACATAACAAGGACTCCAAATAATGTGACAAATATGCAAGACAGGTTAACCCTTGCACATGTTCTGCAATTCTATTACAGGCTAGGGGCTCCATATTACCAGTTATTTGATCTCCTAAAGTACCACTATAACTTAATCCTCATCTCAAAACAGTTATTAGTCATCATTTAGACTCCCTGTATTTTATGATAATTGAAGATTTCTGTAGTTTCCTATAAACAAAACTGACTGATAAATAACAAACAATAAATAGTTTTTGTTCATTTATTTTTTTGTTTCATTCTTAATATTTTTCAAAATATAATGGGAATGAATGCAGTATAAATCTTCTACTTTAGAAATGGGTCATGTATATATGTATATACAACTGTTTGATATGTAAGAAAAATATATATATATTTATATCATTATAAAATATGTATAACATTATATTATTACAATCTACATCATTATAAAGACTTATCTTTATAAACCTCTGAAATCACAACTCACCAAAATTTCTTGTCAACTTCAATATTTCGTTACTTTCATTTATAGATTCAAGTCCCTGCCTTAATAACTGAATAGAAAAAGTTTGTTATTATTCTTATTAATGATATGACATGTCTATTAAAGGAACAGAAATAAACATGAAAGTAAAAAAAAAAAGATTTCATTTATCTTCTTTTTGCAGCTGTCTAGAGAATATACTAATATGTTCGAGGACTCTTAAACAAGTATGTATTTTTACAACTATCTTATATATAAGTCATATTCTGACTTTCGTCACAAATTTCTGCCATGAAACCAGTTTGGATGTAGTGTCAGTTTGGATTGAGATATTTTCTTTTTTTTTTTTCAAACAAAAATTAGACAAAAATGTATATTAAACATAATCTTCAGAGAACATAAAACAAATATAACAAAATACAAGTAAAGACAGTGAATTAACTGAAATCATTAATTATATCATTATTAACAGTTATGAATTTTTTTGATAGATTATATATGATGAAATGACATGGGATATAACATTATATATAGCCCAAACTTCTAACAGCCATCATTCTGTAGTTTTCTAAAGCTTAAATGTTTGGTAAGTTGTGATTTCATTCAATAATATTTATGATGAACATGATTATGATGATTCTGATGATTTTGCTGTTGCTATAGAAATGTAGTGATGATTATTTTTAGTGATGATGATTAATGATGAATAATGATGATGACAGTTCTGAAAAAGAGATAGAAATGTCAGAAAGACATTACTATATATCTATGTCTTAGCTAATTGCTTCTGAAACAATGATGATGATGATGATGATGATGATGATAACAATGATGATGAAAAAGATATTGCTGGAACAAAAACAGCTGTAATCATTTTCAGCATATGTTGTCAAAATCACTGACAAACATTCATTAATTTATATATATACATAATATATATATATATATACATGTATACTAGTGTATTACAGTTATATACATGCATTTGCTATATGCGTACTATATGCTACATGTAAATTTCTATAAATACTTTAAAAAATCTTTTTAGGCCTCAATACTTCAATTATTGAGTAAATATTTCAAAAACTTAAAATTCAAGCAAAAATATTCATTTAAAAGAATTAAAAACAATCAGTTCATTGAAAATATTAGATCAATCAGAAATATTTACTTCAATTTAAACATGAAATTAAATGGACATGCAAGTATTCTTAAAAAGGTTATGTCAGTCACTAACAAATTGTTTCATAAAAACTGATTATACCTTTTGTTCAGCTATATATAGATCTATTTGAATGTGTGAGTCATTTTTTGTTTGTATAAATAAAACGGAAAACTTTGAATCAAAAGACAAACTTAAAAGTATTGAGGAAATCTGGAATGGCACTGTATAAATTATGTATAAGTTTTGACAAAATCCAATAATAAATTACAAGAGATTGTAAATAAACCTGTTTTCTTCCAATGATAACTGGAATACTTGCTATTATGTTATGTAATCAGGTGAGCTTAAACAGAAATAAAGAACTTGAAAAAGGAAATGATATAACAACTTCAACATCGTTCTGTTTAAATCACTAACTTGACAAAAAACATACACATTTTCTATGCACAATTGTAACTCCTATTAAATTAACTATACAATATAAACATTCTATAAAAAATAGTTCTGTACATTGTTATAAAAAAACTCTGTTTTGATATGTACTATAATGGAATGGTTGTAAACAAATAGGTTAGGATGACAACATTAATGGCATGAATTAATACTAACCACAATTTGATATGTTTATAAAAACAGCATGATTTACCAGCATTTCATTTACACATGCAATACCTACAAAACAATAATTCCTTCGCTACTTAAAAGTTAACTCAGAATTTCTAGAAGTAATAAGTAATAAACATCACAACCTGTATTTTGAAATTCATTTTACAATCATGCTAACCTTGGCTAGATTACAGAGGATATTGTCAGTGGTTCAACCCAGGTGCCTGCTCTCCTTAGAAAATGCATGTGTGGTATTCTTGGTCCAACCTCAAATCACAAGTTAAACTTGAAAATTACCATATGATGTGTGTTGACTTAAAACCAAACATAAATATCAAAATGTTAGATTTCAAGTTACCACTGACTATTATAATTTTCAACGAAAGGGTATTCAACATAAAATAACAAAGATGGTTACAATTATGGTTAAAGTCCTGACAATAGTACAAAATCTGATATAATCTATTGATATAATACTGCATAAAAATTATTCCAATAATTTAATTCAAGTAATTCTAAATAACGTAACAAAATCTAGCCTCTATATATGAATAATTAAATAACCTCAATGAGTTAATTTATTTCATTCCAAATAAATATCAAGGAATTTCAAATAGCACACTTTCCTTGCCAAAGTCGAGCAATCTGGACAAGACCAACATAGAAGAATACATGAAATATTGCAGCAGTCTAACGTAAAACATTACAGTTTGTCCAAAAGATTTTATAAATTACATTATTATATCAATAATCAAAATCTGTCTGTATGTTTAATCACTTTTTGTTAGTATATTATTATCATTTTCTATGTCATGCTTATGAACAGAACTCATTTAGTGTCCTAAAATAATCTAGAATCTCATTGGTTCTATGTCACAAAGCTTCTGATTAGCTGTCATATAAATTTATTTTATAAATCAACCAATGGCAAAGCGAAAAAGAGTAAAGAAATGTTCTGGCACAGGACACTGAAGTAGGATCCTTTAATATTCCACTAGATACTTTCTGAATTACTTCCCTTTAATAGCAATACTGGCACTTAAAGCTCTATGAATACATGTGTAAGTAAGTGTTCCTTAATATATTGTTATCATACACAACAATAAATGCATAATCTCACCCTTCCAGGATGTCCATAAAGAAAAAACATAAAAATAATGTTAATATCACATTAAACTTTCAATATCATAATATTTGGATAATAAAATCTGCTTGAATACATGCCCCACCAGCATCACTTTACATGACATCTCTGATTCTCATATATTGTCAATTCTTCAAGTCCCTGTCACATATACTGACCTTTATTTAAATCCAAAACAGATCAACTTAACACCACTGCATAGTGTTATTCGAAACTTACACTAATCTTACACTTACACTACTCACTGACACAGATAACATTTGGAAAATAATCAGCACAAATATGAAGTTCCTGGCATCATTTTGGCAATATTTTCGTTTTCACACTGACATCACTTAATGATTGGACGCAAGTTTAACTCTATTGCAAAGTAGACCCGCATTATGATTATCTATTATGTTCACTAAGGCTGATCTCTGATTGGATCATATCAATCGTTCTAGAGGTGGTTTCTTCATAACATTTCCGAGTTCCACTCTCGATCCCGTCACTTCCTGTCTGCTCGGACTGTAAGCTCCGCGTGTTGCTCGCTTGTTACGTACACAAAGCAAAAACCAAATTACTCCTGAAAAATGAAATTATCGTTTTACTTTTATTTTAGATTTCTAAATTTAAGAATTTTTACATGATAAATTTGCTACTTATAATAATTTCAATATGTCTGTAATAAAAATAGAATGTTTTGAAAAACCAGCAATTTTTTTCTAAGTACATGTACTGTACTTATCAATACAATAATTACTGTTTTTGTATTTCATACACTTATAACTTAAAACAGTAGAAACCATCACTGGTATACAGGTATATATCTAAAGGCCATCCAATGTTTTATAAAGAAAGCTGCCTAGGCTACCTCTGCAATGTCTCTTTGTTATAAGTTACTTGACCTGTAAATTTCTGGTTTTATTTTTACATGGTCAAAGCTTAGGTCACCCTGTGATTTTCAAATCAATACCAAAGTTGTACCTCTGCATTGTCTAAGGCAAACCCCTCAGCCTATCTTCCATGAGCTTTGATGCATGAAAAAAGGCATGTTGCAAAACATTTTTACCAGATTTACAGAAAAACATGTGGCATCAACTCTAAATTCAATTAATGATAAATCTATGAAAAAAGTGCAGAAATGGAAGACTGTATAATATATGTATAAGTTACCTATAGTTATCAGTATAAGGACCAGGGCTATGACAGGGCCCACAATATACCACGTTATATCATCCTCCATCAATGCTTGAGACTGAAATTATAAAAATCATTATTAAATATTTATCGTAATTGTGGCCATTAAAATTACAGGATTTTGCCTAAAGATCCAGACTGAGTGTCCTGCACATTTATGTAGTCAGACTGAACTGTTATCAGTCTAATTTCTAGGAACTGCATACATGAATTGTTAAGCATGCACTATAACTGACTTGTAGAGGGAAGAATTACTTCAAAATTATACTTTCTTTCAACACTAACTGAAATGCTTGCCAGTCCTTTAGTATGACTATCACTTTTCATGACCTTGATTTTCAGCACATTATCCTAATATTACACATACACCATCAATTTATATGGCCTAATAGATGGCAATAAATAAATATCATAAAAGTTAAGGATATTGATTTCTTACACTTACAAATTTTAGAAAATAGGTGCAAATTTGCATTCAGTAATAGAATTACAATTGAAATGCATAAACTTTATTTGAAATCTTTAATGTACCACAATTTCAAACTTGCTAGAAATAATCATTTTTAAAAAATGTATGCCTGATCAATAATGTAAATGGGTAATGGCTGGTCAATCTGACTGATCTTTACTTTTTACCTGCTGGAACTAGTGTGATTAGCCTTTGCCAGCAGCATAGATCCAAACATGGCTCTTAGGTACTGTTGCAAGCTCTATTTTTGTATACAATGTTTTGATTATGAAATTCCCATAAACATTGAGAAAAGGCTGCTAATACACACAATTCAGCAAGGTGAGGAAAACTTTGTGGTCAACTATACAAACAAATCAAATATATTTTATAAACACAATGATGAATTAATCTTCCTCTGACACAAGATAAACACAAACCTAACAATTATTGTCTAGTGTTTATCTTACCTTCACTTCACATTTCGGGCCCTCAAAATCATCTGTACATTGACACTCGTAACTTCCTTCTAAGTTTTTGCACGTAGCTCCGTTATAACATGGGTTATTGTCTTCACACTCGTTTACATCCACTTCACATGTTACATTCTCGTAACCTGGTCACAAAAAACAATTTGTGAAAACACAATTAGTTTTGTTTTATTTAAAAGATTTTAGGTTATGCATGCATTCGTTATTGTGAATGTAAAGCTACTTTCAGCTTTATCATATTAAATGAGTCCCTCATGTATTATGTCAGGTTTGCTAAGCACCTGTGTACACCCACTAGCATTCCATAAACTGGATAGATGTCTTACTCAGAACACTCATCCCCCTTGTCCCCACCCCTGTCTGAATCAAATTCAAGTTGCAACAGCAATGATCTGAATCAGTAACTCCAACCAACAACACTGCCTGCCACAATGAACCCTGACATTGTGTGCGAAAACATGTTATATGTTAAGGAAAACTCTAAAAATAACTTGAGACATTTAAATCTATAAAAAACAATGTAAATACAGGTATTAATGTAATGATATCTTTCTTAAATTCCAATATTTATTCACCTTTCCTCTAACCAAAGGCCTTAAAGTGTCAAAGAACTAGGCAGCTTTACACATTCTTTAGAGGCATCATTCATGTCAAAAATAAACTATTCAAGAGTAACATACATACAGAATTGAAAACATGGCTATGTAACATATGTTAATAATCAATTATTCATAGAATAAATAAAGACTATCCCGTATAGCCATTTCTACTATAAATGTTTCTAATACTTCACTGCATTAACCATTATATATTAATGAAAACTATATATACTTGTGTTGTTACTAGTGTAACAGAATAATTTTGCCCAGATGGAAGAGAAGACTTACTCCTTCACATTACAGGAAGGAGTTGGCTTAAAAACTAAAGGAATGTCAACTTATTGTTCTTTCACTATTAGATATTCATCTATTTCAGGAATAGAAACCCTTAAAATGACCTCTTATCATATTCACCCCACATCAACAAAAAAATAAAAGGCTGAACTTTAACCCTTAACCTGCTGGTGACAACAGATTCTACCCATGTAACCAGTGCAGATCATGGTGTCCTAGCTGTCTGATCATGGTCTGCACTGTTTACTGTATTTAGTCCATATATACTGTGAAATTTTCCCTAAAAATGATGAATGGTTTATTCCAAATTGAAAATTGGGCAAGTCCATTTAAGATATTTAGCAGAGTTATATAAAAATAAACCACAGGAAGATAGTAAGACAGAAATTTACTTGTGCCTCTGCTCTCTACAGGAAACATCAATCATATTACTTTAACTTGTGCAAAATTACAACAAAAATTGAATAAGTTGTCATGTCACCCCTGTACGAGTTCTTAACAAAACTAACCTGTATCAGTACAGTTACATTCAAACTGTCCTATTCCATCAATACAATAACCATTATTTTTACAAGGAGATGATGCGCACTCGTCAATGTTGGTCCCGCAAAACTGGTCGGTAAATCCGAGAGTACAGTCACATCGGAATGATCCCTGACTGTTTACACACGTAGCTCCGTTTTTACAGAGGTCAAGGTTTAAACACTCGTTTATATCAGTATCACATGTCTGTCCCTCCCAACCTGAAACATAATGACATTTATATAAATATATAACACTTTCATACTATGAGAGTACAGGTGTAGTCTTACGCAGTAATTATGTATTTGTGACAGATATAGACTTACTCCGGAATTAAGAATATTTTGGATTTTTTCCCAGCTAGTCAGGGGGTACAAACACACTTTTACAGTTACAACTTTGAAAATAAGTGCAAACAGGTTGACTAATCTATTGTGACGGGAAGTGCACCATGAAGCTATAATGGTAAAAGTTTGTTTGTACCCCAGGATAAACTTGGAAAAACCCACATTTGCTGAGTTCCGAATAACATCTATTGAAATATGCCCTTGTATTATAATAAGGTGCTGTCTAGTATTTAGACTGGACAGGTGAGTTTAATAACAGATGATTGGTGCAGCTGCATTTTTCAAAGACAAAATTCCTTGCACAGAATCTTAAAATACTAATTATGGTATATAATTATATATATATACATGTATTATCATATCCTAAAAAATGCAATATTATTTTACCTGGTTTACAATGGCAGGTATAGTTGTTTGCAGTCACATCCTGAGTACAACTCTCTGTGTTAGCATTAACACAGGGTTGATCTGCACATGGACCTTTAATCTCACAAAGTTCTCCTACAGAAGTAAACATATCATCATTAAATAAATATGATGAAGTAAAAGCTGTCATATTGAACCATGAGAAACTCGTGTTTTTTTTCTTGCATAAATAAATCATTTGATAAAATAAATCATAGGAAAATTTCTAACTAATATACAACAAACTGTAAAGACTTTTCTTCTGACACTATAATAAACTTATCCAAAGATCACCATTTTTCATGCAGAAAAGTTACACCTTTTGAATGCTTATTGCATTAAAGGCACTCCCTAGAGGTCCGTGCCTAGAGGTCCAAAAGCCTTAAAAACATAAAATAATTTAAAATTTGAATTTCGTACATATTTCAGCTGGGGCACTTAAAAGAGAAAGATTATGCAAACGATAATTAAGAAAAATACAAAGAATGTAATTGAAAATCCTATTTTTGTGCTATTCTTAGACTGATTTGAGTGAAAATGCCATTCCATTTTTGGGTTACTTTTCACAATTAAAATAATTATTCTGGAAAAACAGGGTGACAGAATTTCGCAAATAAGTCATTGGTCTAAACTTTCATCAAATGGAACATTAATCTGGAAAAAAATATTTCATTAAAGTCCAGTCATGCTGAAACACCTCAGTCGAGTCCCTTTAATAACAATTCATAGAAGGTCACAAAGACCTGTTTCTGGTCAGTCATGTCGTCTGACTGTCTATACTGCTGACAGCTCAATTCTAGCTGTTTTATGTTGCTAATTTAAAAGCAGGGTGAGTCCACTTTACAAAGTTAGCATGGTCGGGATTAACATTATTTCTTATATAGTTGTCATATGATTTTTTACTATACTCAAATTTCCATTATTTATTGGGAAGAATATCAGTGACAGTGATATTACAATAAATAACATACTGACATATGATACTAAATAGAGATCTTGATTAACCACAAAAAAAAGTATAAGCAAGACACCTAGATAATCAATATCCAGGACATTCTTCTTTTCTATCACAGAAAGACAAGATATTTTATCATTTCTTAGTGTTATGTTCATATTTCATTAAGATATAAGCTTAAATTATTACTATGCTGAACATATGAATTTATTTATGTGATGAAATCTCTCCTTCTGTTAACTTATAGTTTACATAATATTCTAATTGAACCAGTTTTTTTTAAGTTATAACTTAATATTGACATATCATTGCTGTAGTTGATTTGTTTTTAAAGGTATTGATTGGCAAAGGACTTGCCTAATCAGTTCAATTTTTGTATTGAAACTCCCTAAAATAACAGTGGACTTTTCCAAATGAAAAGTGGGACAAGTCCATAACAGAAATTTAGTAGTATAGACAGACATTTCAATGCTGTAGGCATTTTTTCCAACTATTTGCTTTAAACATAACATCTTAAGATAACAAACAAGTATGCTGATATAATATCATGTTTATTATAAGTTAAACATTATTTTTTACATTATGAAAAAATGTCATCATAAACAAACCATTATTTCACATACTTGTTCACTTAATAAACTAAAACAACATTTAAGTAACTACAAGAAATCACATGTCATATCAGTGAAATATATCACACCCTAAATTTTTAAATGCTAGTATATGTTCTTGTGACTTTCTCACAAACATTGTCAAATCATTTTACCAACTTTTTTATTAATGATAAATTGTACTCTTGCTACATTTTTCAACCTGTTTGCCTATTATCAGATTTATCACTAAAAGTGCTTATCATGACCATTTAGACATCTAAAAATAACAATGTCTTTAATAATTTTAATAAATTTCAAAGTCAAATAACTGATTTAAGTTAAGAAAGTAACATGTTTTAATAGATAAATAATTATATACATTGTACTATTTAAAAAAAACCATATACTGTAATTATTATAAACTCCTTTCTGTAATTAACCAAACCTAAAGGTAAAAACATATAACTTGATTCTTGTTGTTGTTTTTTCTTGTTTATTAATTTCAAGTAAATTATCCAAGTCATAATAAGGATAATCATTTACATCTATTTATGTTAAAAGTAACATTTTAATCTCTTATAAAATGTACCTTGTTGATGTTGTTATTTTGTTGATAAAAATATCCCACAACTTACATCAGAAACATTATATTTATATGAAAATCCAGTAAGAAAACATGTATAAAATCCAGGAAAGACATGAGATAAAGTTAGTTTAGTGACTATTATACCAAACAGAAATTCAAGTTATTAGCCTAGAGGGGGTCAGTGTAGAGATTTTTATGGTATAGACAGATTTTATACCTGTATAAACTAAAATGGTTAATTCACCTTATTTACACATCATCATCTAAATAAATATACAACCATCATTTACATCGTGTAAGTACCTAATTTAAGACTGTAGATAGTAAATTACCACCCCTATATTTACAGAATTGTAATTTCTGTTAAACTATTAAAACCAATACGTTACAAATCTCCAACACAATCAAGTAATAACAGGTTTTGTTTGATATACTATTAAAACGTAAAAGTGATTTTTTTACACAAATAATAATTGTTTACATACTTATGTTTGAATGAGCTTAAATCATGCAAAATCCTCAGTTCACTAATCAGTAAGTACCTTATTTTTAAAATTCCCCTAAAATGAGAAATAGTTTTTGTCCAGATTAAATTTGGTCCATTTCAATATTTAGTGTGGTTAAAATTTTCACTCAGCCTTCATATTCATATTCAATGACTAAACTTATTATCAAATTATTATTTCATAAAATCTGGTAAAGAAATTCCAAAGTATAATTGTGTACTATACTTACAAAATATGTGTATTAATATGCCACAGATTTTTTTCTGAAGAATCTTTTTACAGTTTTTTTATTTCTTATACCATTATTTCTTTTATTATGTATAGTGTTGATTTATGTAGTTACAGGAAAAGCAATGCTAATTTTGTATCCCTGATTCAAATCAATAATTCCAGGTAAAACACCACTAATATCACTCTCGCCTTTCATTTGTTTTAATAAAATATCCTTAAATAGTTTTCACAACAATAATATCTTCTTTTCTGTTTTTCAATGTGACTTACTTAAAATATATACATATATAGATAAAAGATCTAAAATACCACTGTTAAACAATTTATTTTTTGGTGAAATACAGTTCAAGGTACCATAATGATGAATGTATTTATATATATCTATACATAGAAACAAACAAAAATCCTGAAATGTTTAAATTAAGTTGCCTCAGGCATCAATAGGGTTTCACCTTATTCCAATTCTTACAACATAATTTGAAGTTTTTTTTTCATAAAGAAGAACATTTCATAACTTGGAGGCACTAAAGTTGGAACATAACAGCAATGAGAATTTAAAGATAAAACATTTGCTAGGCTAGCTGACAGATGAGTTAAACACCTTAACATAAACATTAACACTTTTCAATTCTGACAAAAAACTGCCCTGTCTCAAAACATGTACTTATATTACCTCTACGTGGGGTAATATCCAAACATGCATTTGCACAAGTAAATAAATATAGCAGGTGCAAAATGAGGTATTAATTCTGTTAGGTTTCTAAATGATAAATTGGGAATTCTAGATAAGATATTTTCAAATATACCCACTCAAATATTTGGGAGGAAAAACAACAACAACATCATCACAATATTCAACAATACTGTTTAACTGCAAGACATAATCTCTGAGCTTTAGACCTAATTTTATTTAGAAATGATTGATTACAATGAATAAACTACTGTTTGTTAAACATGCTTTTTGAAGACTAGTGTATATATCTGAACATCCTTAAAACATATCTTATAATTTTTTTAAGAAATATTTTTTATGTAGTGTTTTTATGTAGAATTGGGGGCTTAATCATTTTGCCTTCAAACTGTTTGCATTCATTCCTTACATCAAAGGAAATGTTTTTAATGTTTCTTTTGATATATCATTGAAGTTAATCCAACAATAAATAGGATTTGCAGATGACTGTTAATAAAATATATACCGGTAAATCTAACTTCAAAACTTAAGTGATAAGATTTATCTTTTTTTTTCAGTTGCTATTTCAATGTAAAACGAATCATCTAATGCTATAATGTTATTCAAGGTTAAATTTAGGAATCCTGCATTGCCTTTTAAGTGTGAATTTCAGGACTGTAATTTGCCATTTAGGAATTGTACATTGCCTTTTAAGAGTAAATTTAGGAATTGAACATTGCCTTTTAATAGTAAATTTAGGAATTGTACATTGCCATTTAATTGTAAATTTAGGAATTTTAAAGGGAGACACAGGCAAAATTGACACAGGCAAAATTTTCATTTCTTCGTTTTGATTTTTTCATTCATTATTCTGTAAATGTCCTCAAAATGTAAATTTAGGAATTGTACATTGCCATTTAATTGTAAATTTAGGAATTGTACATTGCCTTTGAAGAGTAAATTTAGGAATTGTACATTGCCATTTAAGTGTACATTTAGGAATTGTACATTTCCATTTAAAGGAAAATTAAGTGAATCCTACGTTTCTATTTAAATGTATCAAAATTTAATAATCTTTCAATGTCATTTTAGTGTAAATTTAAGGATTTATTTTGTCAGTTAAGTGTAAATTTAAGAGATATACATTGTTATTTAAGTAAAAAAATAGAATCATACATTGCTATTTTAGTGTAAATTTAAGAATATACATGTACATTGTCATTCAAAGGCACATTTTGTTTTAATAATTGATTAAGAGCATGTTAGATATTCAACAATTGAAAAAGTAGCACTGAATTTGCAGTGGTGTGTTGTATAGGTAGTACAATGTAAACAAAATAGTATTTTGACTTCTATAAAAAAATACTAATTCACTAAATATATCATTTGCAAACAGAGCAAAATAAGCAAAAGATAGTTTATATACATGGCAAATGAGTACTTTTTTTTGGAAACTCTGAGACAGAGAGATTTTGAGAAATAATAATTATAGCATTTCTAAGACATAATGGGCCTTTAAGTGAAACAGGTTCCACAAAATTTTAAATTATAGATCGAGACTCCTTACCTTCATAGTACTGAGGACAGGTACATTTCCATTTAGCTTGTACGATATTACATATGCCTCTATTTTCACAGTTGACCGCACCACAATCTGGGATTTCACAGTTCTTTCCCTTGTATCCAAGACTACAATTGCATGTATAGCTTCCATTTGTGTTGGTACAGGTTCCCCCATTCAGACAAATACCCGGTTGAGTGGTACATTCATCGATATCAGTTTCACAGAAAATCCCTAAAAATGTTTTAAAAAATTATGTTTGAAAACAAAAGTGTCAAAATATACATTTTAAGACAAAAATGAGAAAATATTCTTTTGAAGACAAAAATGTGAAAATTTACAATGTGAAAATGTACACTTGTTGTAGATATAATAGTTAGAATTAATAGGTGCTACCAACCTGTGTAACCTGTGTTGCCACAGTTGCAGTTGAACCCCGGAGAGCCATTTTCGTTGAAGCATTTACCCTGGTTTTGACATGGCTGAGTGATTTCACATTCATTAATATCAGTCTCGCAGGTAGACCCTGTATGAACTGTAATGGAGAAATGATACTTCTAGGATGTCATGTATAAAATACGAGATCTTTTAACAGGAATTCATGTACATTTGTACAGTTTATATAAAGGGTGATAACTCATGTCATCCATATTCTGTAAAGGGAGACAAACAATATACAGTATACATTAATTAATTTATAGTGCCAGCCATGTGCATTGTAACTTGATAAAATACTTTCAACTACTATATTCCAGTTGTTTAGTTGTTTAGTCTTACAAGAAATCCCTAAAGTTTACAATGGCCAGTTCCAAATTCAAAGCTGAACTAGTCTTTAGCATAAAACATTTGGTGAAAAGGGGGAGGGGGAGGGGATTCAATATTTGTTTGTTTGTTTCATTTCACGCCTTTTCCCAACAGTATTTCAGTCATATAGGCGGGTAGTTTCCTGACCATCATTCCCGAAAAGTTACACCAGTACTAGACTACCTTCCTCCACGCTAAACTACCAAAGCATCTCCCGGCGATCAAACCCATGCCAGAGAGGTAACTGGATTAGAAGTCATCGACGCTAACCCTTCGACCCTGGAGGCGGTATTTAATATATACTTACACTTTCCACACTGGCAAGTAAACATGTCAACACCATCCACACATGTACCATGATTCAAACAGACACTAAATACACAGTCATCTATATTTTGTTCACATCTTTCGCCAGTGAACCCTGAAAATGTATAAGTATTATTATTACTAGTAGATACTGTTAAAATTTCTTAATTTTTTCTCCCTAAATACATTTTCAAATTAATTTTAAATGTAAGGAACATTTTGCACATATCTAAACCATTCAGGAATCAACTTCCTGGTCTTGCTGACTACAACTTTATGTGGGGAAATATAGTGAGGTTTGAATCCTCAATGTCTGGGTTAAGACTCTCATCTCAGTCACATGATCACAGCCTCACTTCATGAATGATGGTTTCATTTTAGAGCTTAATTAGTAAGAGCATAATGTAAGTCGAGGGTTGACTACAAAACAACAGTAACTTGAAATAAAGAAGAAATTGCAACAGTCTTGCAGTAAACCCTTGGTATTATGAACATCATGTCATTAGGTTTGAATCCCAGGCTATAGAACATGCTCCAAATGATGAATCGAGTTGTTAAAAACATTTGTCAATGAAGTAAAACTGGACAATTGTTTTGGTTTTCATAAAATAGTTACCTGTAACACAGGTGCATGTATATTTCTGTAAAGCTGTATTAGATACACAGGTGGCTCCGTTCTCACAAGGGAAGTCACTGCAGTAATCTATAGGGGTGTCACACTTATACCCTTCATAACCAGCTTCGCATGTGCAATTAAATGTGCTGACTTGAGTCTGTAAATATTCAAATAATCGATGTTACTTCAACTTATCATATATATACATATTTAATATTAAAGGTATATCATATATGAATGGGTCACAAAAATCATCGTTGGAAAGGGTGGCTCACTTCACCCAGGGTTCACACTATTCCAATGCTTGAACTCGGGTTATAGCACATCATTATTTCACAATTAAATTTTTCAATTATGTTTGTTTGTTTGGGTTTTAATTTGCACCAACACAATATAGGTCATATGGCGACTCTCCAGCTTTACTGGTGGAGGAAGACCTTAGGTGTCCTTTTGTGCATTATTTCACCTGAATAGAACCATCGACATTCTGTAAGCTAGCTTGATAGTTTCCTTGTATGAAAGAATACTGTGAAAGTCCCATCCACAGTGGTAAAGGGCGGAAAGTGGTTTGAAGTCAACGACCATAACCACTTGACACAGACGTCCCATTTCTAAATCTAAATATAATTCCTACATGGTTATTTAACATGGTTCAACCAGGTGATAAATACAACAAACTTTTGTATTCTTGCAATTAAAAGTTGAAACAAAGGAAACAGAAAAAATCAGTTAGCTATGAAAGAATATTTAGAATAGTTTTAACTTTAACAAGTGTACAAACAACATCTTTATAACATAACATATATAAGAGAATAGAATAGAAACTTACATTAGTGGTTGGATGTGTTGTAGTAATCATGTCACATGTCCCGTGCACACAGGGATTGTCACTACAGTTTTCTGTCACCTGAAGAGAACAAACAATCAGCAAATGGGATAATTTTTAAGACAATCGGTTCATAATTTGAAGTACATATAACATGTACCTTGCTAAAAGAGGTTTGCAAAAGAGTATGAACCATTCAAAATATGTACATACTGAATAGCAAACAGTGCAGCATGATCTTGGTCTGCACTGGTCACATGGGTTGAATCAGGCACCGCTCTTAGAGCAAGCTAAGAATTAAACTGCTCATGGACATAAGTGTAAAAATTCTAAAGTTGGTTGAGTACATTTCATAAATTTAGCAGGGTTAATAAATAAATAAGACAAAACTCTTCAGACCGTCAACGTAATACACAGTTACAGTTCAGTCAACAGTCATCAACAACAAACATTATGATGTTATATATCACAATGATATCATTATGACATGAATCATTAATATCTAATATAATAAACAAGATGGTGACTTGAGGAGAATGATTCAAACAGTAACATAACTGAATGATAATTATCTATACATTATGACATTCACATTTTTAGTTGTACATTTAAAGCTTTGGATTAGTATGAAGGATATGTTAAATCATATACCCTGCGAGTCTAAAGATATTTATGATATACATGATAAAATGTCAAACAAATAATGTATTATATAGTTCTGTTATTTTCAGACAGGGTACATTCAGATCTTATCTGTTTTGTCTGTTTTTTCATGTCTTATTTATAAATGTACCATGTACCAGGAAGATCCATAACCTACCTTTACCTGCTAACATTTGTGTAATACATTTGCCCAGCTATGAATTTAAATTTTTAGATATGAGAGTACAAAAATTCAGCTACCACCAGTATCTAGCCTGGTCAGACTGCCTGGATGTGCAGGCTGGCCTGATGGCTCTATAAGGGTGATGCAAAGGCTGATCACCTTTTGGTACTATCAGGTTTAAAGGGACAGGAAGCTTTATTCTGTCTGCTCATTGCTCATTCGCTAAATTTGCCACTTACACTATCTTACATGTTTCTTTAAAAGGAAACTGTTAAGCTGACTGTTAGGTGCCAAATCTCTAGGATGACTGGGAATCAAACCCAAATCAAGTCTGATTCACAGTCCCACGCTCAACCTATTGAGCTAACTGGATGGCTTCATGGCAAGGACATTACCCTTGAGTAAACCATATATAGCTGACTGTTAGGTTAACCAAATGGCTAGGACATTACCCTTGAATTAACCATATATAGCTGACTGTTAGGTTAACCAAATGGCTAGGACATTACCCTTGAATAAACCATATATAGCTGACTGTTAGGTTAACCAAAACGCTAGGACATTACCCTTGAGTAAACCATATATAGCTGACTGTTAGGTTAACCAAAAGGCTAGGACATTACCCTTGAATAAACCATATATAGCTGACTGTTAGGTTAACCAAAAGGCTAGGACATTACCCTTGAATAACCATATATAGCTGACTGTTAGGTTAACCAAATGGCTAGGACATACCCTTGAATAAACCATATATAGCTGACTGTTAGGTTAACCAAAAGGCTAGGACATTACCCTTGATTAAACCATATATAGCTGACTGTTGGGTTAACCAAATGCCTAGGACATTACCCTTGAATAAACCATATATAGCTGACTGTAAGGTTAACCAAATGGCTAGGACATTACCCTTGAATAAACCATATATAGCTGAATGTTAGGTTAACCAAAAGGCTAGGACATTACCCTTGAATAAACCATATATAGCTGACTGTTGGGTTAACCAAATGGCTAGGACATTACCCTTGAATAAACCATATATAGCTGACTGTTAGGTTAACCAAAAGGCTAGGACATTACCCTTGAATAAACCATATATAGCTGACTGTTGGGTTAACCAAAAGGCTAGGACATTACCCTTGAATAAACCATATATAGCTGACTGTTAGGTTAACCAAAAGGCTAGGACATTACCCTTGAATAAACCATATATAGCTGACTGTTGGGTAACTTAAATAACTCGACACAACTGTGCCAAAAAAGTACTTGTTATGAATTAATACAGCACGTTTTATAGAAATATTACAGAAAGTATTACTTTTCCTGACAACAAGACTGTAGACACAAAAGGTTATCTAATCTTGCTTGTTATACAAATGTATGCATGTACATGTAACAGTATGCACTGAATACATCACATTTTAAGGCGGGAGCCAGTATTATGATTAAGCATTTACAAGATAACCAACCCACACAATTTACATATCAAACTTTTAACTTAAATACAGCCATAAATAACTGAATAAACATTACGTTTATTTTTTCTAGAATAATCATTGAAAACTGGTGAAATGTTTATGCAACTTTTGCATCTATTTTCCAATCATTTTATTGCATTATTTAAAACTTATAGTAATTATATTGACAGAGCAAGACAGATCTAAAATAGTTATAAATTACTGATTCTATGTAATCGTCTATAAAATAAATAATGGAATGCCATTTTAACAAGAAATTGATCCTCCTTACAAAAATTAAAACAACAGCAAAAAACATAATTTTGAACAAATCAAGGGCAATAACTCTACCATTCAAGAAATACAAACATTCCTTTCACACTGGTCTGAGATGATATTTCTGTTAGATTTTATGTATTGAGTGGAGGATAAACAACCATTATACATACTCTTAACCAAAACGCCTACTGGCAGCAACTTATTCTACTCTTGTGTCGAGTACAGACCAAGAATCAGTCATGTTCATGTCATGGTTCATGTTTGGTTATGATTTGTACAGTATTCGCTATTTATTCAGTCAATACATATGATAGTCAAGTCTATTCAAGACATTATGTGTGATAATTATCAACAGAAACATACAAACATTGCCCGTTACACCATCATGGAATATATTTTGAGACACCATGTGAGACAAGTTAATAAGATTGACAATCATTAGTGAAGATCAAAAATGTATATTTTTTAAAACTTACCGGTATTTGGCACATGTCTCCGATGAAGTTTGCTGGGCAAGAGCAGCTGTAGGTCCCGTTTTCATTCTGGCATGATCCATTGTTCTGGCACGCCGTTACATTACTGTTACATTCATCCACATCAGTCTCACACCTTGCGGGTAAATTTGAAAGTAACATTAAAAACACGGCTAATGATACTATATACACTGAGATTACGTTCCTTATATCCATCGAAGCTAAGATATAGTTAACGTCTTTCATATACACAATGTAGTCCATCAAACTTTCATAATGTACATTGTCATATCATGGTAAAAATACCATCCAATTTTTCACTGTTGGACATAATGATAACAATATTTTACAAACTAACTTCCATTTATAATCCAACATATATAATAACAACTTCAACCTTATATGAGAACATGTCCGCTGAGTACTGATTAAATCCTGTTAAGAAGGACATACAGTTATAAGTCCTTTTCAAAAAATCGTGTTTGCTTCATTAATGTTGATTACTCATGTAAAAAAATATTGTCATTTAATTTGTATATCTCCAAGTTCAATGACTCATACCTCTAATATCTATATATATATATTTAATCAAAAGGAGATAAATCTGACAGGTATAATTATATTATACTGCCATACATTTTAATCAAAGCGGTACAATTTTCACTATCCGTCGACACATTTCGTATATATATATATTAAAATTTGCAATGTAAATATGACATGAAAGTCTGTCACATCCCACTGTTAACAGTCTGAACACCGTGATAAATGAAAATGAAAAATTTTAATCTAAACTCCCCGTCTTCAAAGAAAACGTACTGATAAAAAAAAGTCTTCCGACATCTGACATCAGACATCGTATATGCATTAATATCATACCTCCATTACCAACTACTTCTTGACCTTGTGGTGAAGTGACAAAACCTTTTACATACAATATATATATTACTTAGATATGCAAGGGCTTTGAGCAAAATGGTCGTGACGTTACTAAAAAATAATCAAGGATATAACAATTTATTCTATGACTTTTGCAATATGTGTAAACTTTATATATTATAATGATTCTATTCAAAATGCAATAAAATGAGAAAACTGTGACAAAAACAACACCAAATTTGATTGCCGTAAATATATATATTAACAGTGCACTGTTGTTTAATTATTTCAACGTCATTTAATAATTCCATGTTATGAATTCCTTTAACTGATAGACACAATATGAACTAGGCATTCTCTATGCATTCAACAACAAACAGAAACGTAATGAAACCATTAACACAACTGTACGGAACTTCTTTATTATGTAATGTAATATTTTGTAACCATTAACATCTTTGAAAAAAAAAATCTATTGAATAACCAATATTTCCATGAAGCCTTCATTATATTCCATCTGTGACATAATTCTCTCTAATTAAGACTCTCCTTAACGTAAAATAAGCTTCAACAACAAGAATAAGAGGTAAAAATCTTGCGAGCCACATTGATTTTTACATAAATTCTAATTAATTTCAGCTGTTTATAGTCTCATTGGGTATCAAATTCAGTCCTATCTTTTAATGGATTTACAGGTAAGCTTATTTATATGTTTTCATTATTTCCAAGCCACATGTATTGTTAACATAACACAATGAGGAAATATTTGACATAATTATCATGAAGAGTATAAATTAAACGTTTCTTGTACTTGTATATTTTAATTTTTCTATCTAAAACACCAACCTTTTTGAGGCTTTTTTTGGAATAATCTTTTTTTTTTATCTTCACTGTTCAAGAATTTGTTTTCATAAACAATACGACCATGTCTATATGTTATATAGAGGGTACATTTAGTCACAGTTTTCATACCTAGTACAATTGTAACCTTGAAAACATATTTTTCAAAAAAATTACAAATGTATGTTAAATGATTGAGAAATGAAGCGCAAGCAAACATTATCTTTGGTTGTGACTATTTAAAGCAACAATTAGCTATACTAGTATGTGAAACCTCGATAAGAAAGTACCGAAACAATGTTTAGAATTGTAAATGAATACTTGGACAAAAGCCTTATACACATATATTAACAATGTTTTTGTAAGACATCTTCCTTGTTACCATTATAATTATTTAACAGGTATAATATATACATGTATATATAACAGTATTACTTTAAACCCATAACCTGCTGGGTTTGAGAAATAAACTTGCCCGGTAACAGTTTATTTTTAATTTTAGGGGAATTTCACAATAAAAATACAATGTACAGAAACTACAGTACATAGAGCCTGGTCAAACTGCAGACATGTGCCATCTGGCCTGACTGACTTACTGGTGGCAAGCGCTAATAACTTGGGATTCTGGTGGTTTGGAACCAAGTACAATGTATTATAGTAAAAGTGATAACAGGCTACTTAAAGCAAAACTTCTATGTTTCCATCTGTTGGTAGCATTAACTAAGTGCTTATCACAATTCTAGGAGGTTTAGAACTGAGTTTTTAGAGTGAAAACAGTCTTTTTCTGAGTGTGTTGCAATGTTTCATTATAAAATGTCCTAATATAAATAATATGTGTGCAAGTTCAATAAAAGCTTTCACAAGAAATATTATCACATAAAGTTAAACAGGCATTTAGAGCTTAAAATTAGAGTTACTATAAAGAAGATAACCTATCCAATAATGAAAAGGCAGTTGGGGACAGTTAAAACCAAAAGTGCTCAGACTTTGCCACCAGGCACGAGGATCCAAACTGTAAGCTGTGAGCTATTAATTAACTCTCATCTCAAATAATGAGATCTTAGCAATGATAATTCATTACACAAATTAAGCAATTGTTGGGGATGAAAATAATTTTATCATTATTTCAGCATTATCCATAAATAAGTAATAGAAAGAGCATCGAAACACGAGGCTATCTGATTTGTACGAGGGGGCGTAGCCCCCGAGTATTAATCAGATTGCCGAGTGTTTTGATGTTCTTTCTCTTTTGTATCATAGTCAAACATAAAAACACGTTCCCTGTTGTCACAATATGAAACCCCGGCAAAAAGGAACCAATGAACGAACATCTGAATATGATATTTCTGTCGCTTTCCCTTTCTCTGCCGTCACAATATGTAAACCCCAGCAAAAATGAGCCAATCAATGGGCATGCTCTGGAGTGCGGGTAACTAATACCTGCACTCCAGTTAACGCACTGTGCATGTATATGTATACGATTTAACTCTGACACATTTTCAACAGAAAGGTCCCCAAACTATGATACAAGAACAGAATGATTGACACAACATTTGTAGTTTCAAAGTTAAAATCTATTAAAATATCCGACACAAAATCTATTAGTCAATATCCGATACACTTCAAAGAACACACCAAAAATCATAAATCATGCACTTCCAAACTGAAGATAAATTTTTTATCAAATAATTAATTTCTGTTGTATATATCACAAAATCTTTTGTATCAAAAATTCTTAAACACTTTTCGTAATATTTTTGTTTTTGCGTTGTCACATTACTGTTTATTGTGCTTTACTAGTAAATGACCGCCACTGTCACCTACTTTTTTTCGTAACATTTATATATTTGTTCACTGAAGCACAATACACGAACATGTAAAAAGAAAACATCAAACAATAATAAAAATTATAAAAACCAGGTGTTTTTTTTTAGTATTACAAAAACATCTTGAATTACGAAATTTTTGCGTGCACATATTACTCCTTTGATAACCTTTCAAAACAAATATCTTCCTTCTCAATACAAAAAACCTCCTCAATACAAAAAAAATGAAGCTATTTTTAAAAGGATGTTATTATATCTATATGTACATGTATATATAGACAAATCTATTCAATGTATAATTTAAAAGGATTATTGATTTTGTCGGGATTAGCTTTTATCATTCAAGGAGTAATGCAAACATCTTATATAGAGTTGTGTCAAACTCTACAGCAAATAATTTAGCAAACCTCTTTTCGTTAAGATTTACATTTTAGCCTAACATAAAGTATATATTATAAAACAAATCAAGCAAATATTCAAGTCAGGTAAATAAAGTGGACTTGTATATGTCTGTACGAATCTTTGTCATTTTTAAGCTCTTTAGCAGTTTAATATCAATTAACAAGACTTTTATCGTTTTGAATTTAGACCTTTCGAACAACATAGTACTTTGAGGGCATTCTGTAGCAAAACACACTGGTTAAATTATTTGGATGTGTACAGACTGGCCTGATTCTATACAGTGAGTGACAGCATAGGTCTGTTATTATTGATGTTGCGGGACAAAGATTTCCAATAAATGTGGGACAAATAACCAATGAACAGGCATGGACAAACGGTTAACACTTAAAGACTAGTTATATATAAGGATGGCTAGCAACTTTGGTTCAAAACCCGTTAGGGGCATTCCGTTGTTTCTTTGACACTCATTGGTCTGTATTGGTTGGCTCAAGGAACAGATTTGAGGGTGTATTTAAAAGCTAATAAGTCTGTGTCACTTTAACTAATAAGTCTGTGTCACTTTAACTAATAAGTCTGTGACACTCTAACTAATAAATCTTTCACTTAAGATTGTTTCTCAATCTCAAGTTTTGAGCAATTGTTGAAACATGAAGAATTGCTCCAAAGTAACCAGAATCTTAACAGCAGCATTAAAGGTAAACAAGTAAGTGTTTCAACACCCTTGTTCTTACATTATATCATGTGAATTAAGTTTATGTAAAATGTATGATTGTTAAATTAACTGTTAAAACTTTAAAAGGAAGTGAAATGATAAGGTGGTAGAAAACCACTATGACAGGTGTAGTTTTGTCAACTTGTCTATATAGCCTTTAGCCAATTTTCTACAGATAAACTTGGATAACTTGACACAGTTGTACTGAAAATTTGATAAAATGACACAACTGTGCCAGAAAAGTACATACATTATGTTTAAAAGAATAATAGGAAGTATTGCAGGAATGTTCTTTTCTGACTCCTATTGTTCAAGACGATAACACAAAACTGCTACATTCCATTTCTTGTTAAATGATTAAAGATGACTTTAACAAAACAGAAGGTATTACTTTTCCTAACTTAAGATTACACAAAAGGTTATTCATAATTATGCTGTAATGACATTGCCTATAAATAAATTCAATTCACTTTTTGTGACATAATGGCATTATGGCTTATTTCATATTTCATAGTGAGAAATACAGAAAAATCATAAACCATGCAGACAAACTTATAGGTATATAATTAAGAGGAAAATCTTTATCAGACCTTTCATTCTTAAAAATGCGACTACACTGACATTGTAAATTATTGGGATCTGCATTTGTTATCAACACAGATATTATAAATCATTGAAAAAAAATATTTCGAAAATCTCACCTAATCTGAACCATTATAAAACAGCTCACAGACAAAAAGGATTAAAACTTGTTCTACCATGTGACTTACAATATTGTACATGTAGCGGTATATAAAATCAAATGGTATAAATTCTTTGCATCATTAGAGAAGTTAATTTAATATCAAGAGGAAAATAACATGTATTTTGATAAAATAAAGATATAAAATGCATAATATAATACCCAAATACTGCAAAATACATGTATATTCAGGACTCAATATTTGTCTCATTACATCCCTTCCCAGCATACTTAATGATTGACAGAGTAACCTCCCTTTATTTGATTATGCAACTTGGAAAATTTAAAATATCAACACCTTTTTAAAAGAAGGTAAAAAAATCAAATAATCATTTACAAAACAAACCTTACTAAATGCTATTTCATAAAAATTATTTTTTTAAGATGCATCACTTTATTGAAATTTAAAATTTCATTTCTAATGGGGCAGGGCATCTTAAAAAGATTAATAATAACTTTAAAATTATTAAAGATATTATCTCAAATAGGTATACTAAACAATTAAGGTATTTCTATAACTCACCTGTTACCCATATATCCAGAAGGACAGGCACACTCGTAAGTATGCATCTTGTCGACACAGTGACCATTTACACAAGAATCTTCTTCGCATAAATCCACATGATCTTGACACCAGCGTCCCGTGTAGCCACTGCTACAATTACATACATATGTGTAGAAATCTGGAATACATGTTGAGCCATGACCACACTGGTTATCAACACATCCCTGACCAGCTTGGCATCCGTGTTCGAAATTGTGACTTTGTAACAAGAATTTCTGCCGACTTGTGTTATTTACAAATTGTTCATCTGTGAAAAACGGCAGCAATATTCCTCCGATACGTAGTTCAGTTAAACATCCTTCATAGGCATATAAAGAATTTATTATATTTACACCAGAAACCCGAATGCCAACTTTAACTTCATTACCGTCTGCCATTATCAGATCATTAAGTGCGACACTGTTCACACGTTTTTGACTGCTCACATTCTGATACATGGTGACCTCTTCAAGGTCATATAATGTCAAGGTAACTGCATCCATGGAATCGGTAACTCTCGCTAGTAACCATCTTGAATCACTTACTGGATAATAAGCTGTCAATAGCATTTCTTTCGAGTCATCCAGTTTATACTGAATGACGAGATTTTGTCCGATCAGCCTCAGCTTGAAGTAACGGGACTCATTTCCGATCATTAAAATGTAAGCATTCATAGCTAATGTTCTAAACTTGAAAGAGAAGGAGTTTATTTGTGTCGTGTTTGCCAGGGTGTGAGTATAGACAGCATAGCTACTTTTTCCGTCAAAAGTAGCTTCACTTATACCTGAAAATTTAATTAATCATTAGTAAATTAAATAAACTGTCAATTAATTATTTAATAAAGAATTAAAAAAACATTAAACTTAACATCATGAACAAGAATAATACAAAAGATCTCTTATATTACACTCTCAAGGTTTGATAAATACTTCATTGCATTTTTTTTTTAATGTTAAAGCACTTCATAAAATTATTTCACCTATATGTCACCAGAAAGATATACTGTACAAATATTTACCCTATACATGAACCAATTGTTAAATATTTATAATGTTTTTATTTCCAAGATTGTCTATAATATCTATAAACTTACATTCAAAGCCATCCAGTAGACTCTGGCAGGTAGAGCCGCTTGGACATGTCCCAGTTACACAGAAATCTAATTCGCTACAATTCTTTCCTCTATAACCTAACAGGCACTCACAACTGAAATAATTTAAACATATTTTATCAGACAGGTAACACTTTTTTTCTTGTTTTAGCCTTCACATCTTCATCAGTAATTACATTATAAACAATTCACAAAATATAATTACAAACAGAACATCAAATATGACAAAAGCTGGAGAAATTCAAACCAAACATTCTTTTTCCAAGAAAATCATATAGTTATTAAAGGGAGGTAATAAAAGAAGAAAAAAGCTATTGTGGAAAGGGAGGTTATGAAAAATGGATTAAAATGAAAGCATTTAATGATAGTTAATTCTAACAAGACAAAAATTTCTTACAGAAAAGTTAAATCATACAAACTTATGCAAATGAAAATCATTAATGAAATGCACTAACATTTACCCACAGTTAATTCAAAATCTTGAAAATAAAAATACTGTTGCAATAAGACACTGACGATGGAAATAATAGCAAAATTTTCATTTGGCCTATGACGGATTTAATATTAAATGATTCACTAAATAGAATTTTTTTCGGTAATTTATGTCATAAATCGTTACCTGTAATCATTAAAGAACACATCAGAACATGTAGAGTTGTTGTCACATGGGGTAATCATCTCACACACGGGATCGCTGACTTCATTCTCCGTTAAACCAGTACTGCTGGTGATATTTATCGGTCTTAAATCGGTCAAAGTCGGATCAGACAGTGGATAAAACTGCAGCGTGAATTGATCAAGTTGAACATCCTGTATTGTTCCTTTATAACTCGGAACAGACGTAAAATCGTCAATATCACCATCCATAATGATGGTTTGACGTTTCTTCCGCCGTCCTGTAGAAAAGTTAGGTGTCTTTCCACCGAAGTATAGATGCTGTGCATTAAAGGTACAATCATTTGGCACATTTACTTGGTGTAATAAATCGTCATCAACAAACACAGAAATATTACCGTTTCTAGAAAATTTCACAAGATGTTGTTGTCCGTCACTGTATGTGTCATCATTTGATAAGAGAATCCTCTCGAATGCACAAAATTTCATCCTAACTTTCAAATGTCCACTTTCTAATTCTAGAGTCAAGAAAGTTGTTGATAAATCACCGAAGAAAAGTATTAGTGAAGTCTCCTGACGGGTTCGTATAAAAAATGAGAAATCAAATTTCTGCTGGACGACGGTCTGTATATCCTGTGACAGACTAAATTCAGCAGTACTTTCCGGAATATTGTTAAAGCCAAATGTAGCAGCTATATATGCTGAAAAAATGAGAAAAAAACAACTGTTAACATTATGTAAATCATTGATCTTTTAAATAAGAAGCTTAATAGCATTAGTTTGAGCACTTAAATTTACATCTCTGTTGCCAATATATTTTTTTCTAGACTTTTTAATGTACCAGTTCTTTCTCATTCCCTGAAGGAAGTTAACATCTTCTTAAACATGAATTAAGGTGATAGAACTAATCTTTAATTTTAAGAAGAAACTCACTTAGAAATTATCTCTGCATAAGCTAGACATTTACATAACTAAGTTTGTATATCTATATATTTGTAAATGTACATGTTATAATAAATAGTTTCACTATTAAAAGACTGCAATTGTGCAACCAGCATTATATCACTAGTTTGGTTTGATGGCAGAGATGTGTAGGCAACGCTTCGCAGGAATATTGGCCTACACAACCAACATTCAGGCCAGCCTGATTTTTATTCTGATGTAGGATAGTTGTAGCTGGAATACATAGAATTGAGTTGAAACTTATTTAGTTGTAGGCTAAAATCTGTTAGTTTTATACCTGTATCACATGTAAGTCCTAGATTTGGTCTGTAACAGTCACATTTGTATTCATTCCATAAATCGATGCAACTGCCATTATAATTACATGTATCAGGGAAACATTGTACAGTACGTGGACATCCTCTCGTCAGATTGACAAAGATATGATTGGCATTTACTATATCGAGACTTAGTCTGGTTCCCCAAACTGTTATGTCCTCCATACAACCGACATACTTAGTTTTAGACACAGTCTTCTGTAACGAAGTAGCATCCAAAACACTTCCGAAGTAACCATCTTGTGTTGTTTGAATCGTTGGATCATAGGCAACATCTATATTACATCCCGAAGCACATTTACTTCCTGTTATCAGCACAGATAAGTGGCTGTTTGTTTTCGTAAGCTCTACTTTATACCAGCTTCCATCATTTAATTTATTGTTCGATACAGGTGTGTTTATGAAACCACTAGTTCCTACATTATGATATCCTACGACAACTCTACCGCCACTCAGTTCTATAGATGTAAACAGTTGATTAATACTACTTTTTTGACCGATCCATGCAAATAAAACAGATTCCATTAATGTCGTTCGGAATCGAAAGGAAAGTGTCACATCTACGGACATATTAATCTTTGCTTTTACATAAGAGTCATCAAATGACATAGTTGTAGAAATATTACAATATCGCCCAGTAAATCCCTCTGTACACAAACACTCATAATCTTGCTCTCCTCTGGTTTCATTTATTAAATATGGCTGACAAGTCGCCCCATTATGGCACTCATTATTTTGACAAGCTGTTAATTCGAAAGAACAATTTTTTCCGGCATACGGTTTACCGTTGAAAAATGGTGGACATACACAATGATAATCAGCGATTTTATCTATACATGTAGACCCATACTGACAAGGGAGGTAACGATCGCACTCGTTAATTTCAGTGTCACAGTACTCTCCCTCGAAACCTGGATAACAGTCACATCTGTATGCATTGAGAAGATCGAAACATGTGCCGTTGTTACAATTATCATGTTGACAATCATCTATGTTGATTTCACAATTGACACCTGCGACGAGAAAACATTGCAAAGTTAACAAACAAGAATTATAGAGTACAAAGAAGTTTCAAAATATGATTTTCACTAGTACAATATTTGTTGTAATTAATCAAAAATAAAAAGTTGATCCAAAAGTTTTTATGCTCAGTTATGACTTTATACCTTGTGTAGAATAATGACAAAACATTTACCATATTGTAATAAGCAAAGCCAACATGTGTACAACCAAAGTAAGTTTTCAATACTTGTTGTTATTAGGCAATTTTCTTTCTTTATCAGTGCATCAAGGCACTTAATCAGGCTTTAAACATTTGCTATATTAAGTTTGCTGGATAGCCTGCTTCACAATCATGTAATAAATTATCATATCACAACCATCAGGGTGGCTAAAAGTGGTAATAGGCAATTTCACTACTAATGATAATGATGTTGATGATGATATTGATAATTATAATGATAATTACAATGCTGTTGATGATAAAGATGAGGTCAATGTGATGACGATTATAATTACAGTAAACTTCACTTATAGCGAACACGGTTATAGCGAACTTCCGGTTATAAGGAACAATTTATTTTGGCCCGAATTTCGCCCTTCTTTATTTAATATAAAAATATACGGTTATAGCGAACACGGTTATAAGGAATTATCGCTTATAAGGAACTCATTTCTTAGTCCCAATTTAGTTAAAAGTGCATAAAATTATACTTTTATAACGAACTCCAAATATCGGCTATCGTAAATATATCCCGCATTTCAACTTTCGTTGAATGTACCGTTTATTGTTGTATGTAATTCAATATATAAAAATGAATTTGTATAGAAGTATGTAATAGTTTTCTATTTTGGATATTTTTAGCTTGAGTTCTTGTCACAAAGATAAAACGGTAATTCCTTTTATTCTATAACTTCTTTTCTTTAATAGTTTTGCTCGAGTAAGATAATTATCGGTTTTCAACATAATCACGCATGCTTGCAAACATAATCGATAGAAAACTACAAAGTATGCTTGATTGAAATGAAAAGAAATCTATATATTTCATAAGTTAAAGTCACCCTTAAAATATAATAGAAGATATTCAATATAAAAGGAAGAAAAATGGAAAATCTGGTTTATTCTTATTCATTGAAAGAAAACGAAAAGCACTGAGTTAAGAAACAAAATATGATGTTTTATGAAAAATTGAGAAAGGGAGTAAAACTAAAACTGAAATAGCAAAGAATTTTTAAATTCCAAAATGTACACTCTCGGGTATTGTGTCTGAAAAAGAAATAAATGACTAATTATTCTAAATCAAATGCTCTTAAAAATGGCGGACGATGTTTAACAATCAGTTCGTTATATGTAAATCTGTTCGCTATAAAAACTCCTGATACAAGGAACTAATTCGCTATATGCTTACAAGGAACTCCGGATATAAGGAACAGATTTTGAATGTCCCAATGAGTTCGTTATAAGCGGAGTTTACTGTATGATATTGTTTATGACAATGAAGATGGTGACTATATTGATGATGATTAAGTTGATAACAATGTTGATGATGATGATAATAATGTTGATGATGATAATAATGTTGATGATGATGATGATAACAATGTTGCTGATGATAATAATGTTGATGATGATGATGATAATAATAATGATGATGATGATAATAATGTTGATGATGATGATGACAATGTTGATGATGATGATAATAATGTTGATGATGATAACAATGTTGATGATGATTAAGATTATGTTAAGGATGATGACAATGTTAGATCTGACAACAATAAAGATAGTGAACATAAAGCTTACCCCTTGAACCCTCCACACACTCGCACAAGTATCCTGAAGCATTTGCGTAAGAGAATGTAAGGTTCTCAAAGCCTGGGTGGTTGATGTCATACAAGGTTTGATTAGATTTCTGTAAACAGGGACTGTTGAAGTGGCACGGAGATGACTCACACTCGTTAATATCTGTCTGACACTCTTTGCTAGTGTAACCAGGGAAACATGAACAAGAATAGTCCTGAAATAGAACCAATTCAATGCATAACTTAATGTGGTTTACAAATAAAATTCTGTATGGTAATTTTTTTTTTAAATTTAACTATAGTCCTATACATGTAATTGTTAATCTAACTATTATTGAACTGTCTTTATATATATATTTGTCTTTATATATTTGACTTGTCATTGAACACAAATAAATGGATTTCCTGAAGAATATTTTCTTCTTTGTTTAAAATAGTCCGTAATTACCTTTATAAGATCATAGCATGTTCCTCCATTAACACAGGGCTCGGGTTCACAATCATCTATATTTGTCTGACATGTGGTACCTTTAAAACCAGTATCTGTACAATTACACTCAAACCTGTAATATACAATAATTACAGAAAAATATAACACAAATCTTATTGGCCTTATTTTCTGATTGACATACATTGTAATTAATGATCAATAAAATATATAGACTGAGTGTTAATCTGTTTCCTCTGTTTCCTTTTTGGGGGATGGGGGGAGCTCAATTCACCCCATCTTATTTGTTGTAGATCCCCTATTATAAGGGATTCTGTGATTAAAAACACTATAATCTCTAAACAGTATAAAATTATAAAGTCATCTGCTTTGTTGTAAAAAACATATTGCCAACTTATACCCTACCTTATGTGACCATAAATTTATATAATGAACCTGTATTGATTCTAAGTTGAATTTATTAAATATTTGATTATTAGTCGTCATTTAAGGGTTGTGAGAAAAAAATAAAAATTAGCAGGTAACTAAAATTGAATTTTTTATTACTAAGATTAAATATTAATGATTAAATATTAATGATTAAAATGAATGATTTGTAAGAATAAACATGCCTGTGGCTGAATTGATTCATCATTAAGTAAACTTCCTAGAAATTAACCAATGATAAAGAAAACTAGATGAAGGTGTGTTTATGACCACAATATGGACTATTACTTCTATCCCTGATATCATCTGATAATATCAAGGTAATATAATAATTATCTTATAATTTTCTTGTTTGCTTTTGCCACAACAACACTGTTTCACATTTTATGACCTAAGTCCAATTTCAATGTCATTTAATACAAACTTAGAATTAAGTAAAGAAATAATTATGTACATGTAATTTAATCTGAGCAAACAAAAGAAAGGGCTATAAATATGGGCAAAAGGGTATTCAAAATGCATTTGGGCAGCAATTAAGGAAGAAATTGTTTTTTTATACATGTATTTCTATAAATAACTTCTACAGGTGTTATTACAGTCATTGACTTCATGCCACCCAGACACTGTATATGGTAATTTCTTAGGCTCAATGTTAAAGTAAGGGCCATAATGCCAAATACATGCATTTTTCTTGAGCACCTCCTTGGTTTTCTGAGATACACAAATAGCTTCATCACATGAAAGAATGCTTTGTTCATACTTTGAATTCTAACACATAACAATGGGAGTTATACTTTGAACTACATTTTTGTACTTCTATTGAATTTTGAATCATGTGTAAAGATCCTTCATGCTGCTAAATTTCTGTAATGGAATTGGCCTGCTTTGAATTTGGAATTGTCCATTGGAAGTTTAAGGGATTTCAATATCAACACAATAAAAATTGAGGATGTTATTGGTATGTTTAAACTACATCATCCTAGATGTGCAGGCTTGGAGGCCCTGTTCTGGTGGCATAAATTGTCATTACTAAGAATGATCAATACTCTAAGGGTTATTTTCTTGCAAGGTATTCATGCAAGTACAAGTAATGTTACCTCATTGTAGAGTTCCGAGGCCTAAATATATTGTAGACATGAATAGTAAAATACTTAAGTTCAAACATATTCATTTATACTCGGATGTAAATTGAATTCTTGTGGTGTATATTATGGTTCATCAATGACCTTCAAGTCCACTTGTACAAGTTAAAGAACTTAAGTTGTTGGTTCTACTTTAGATGTAAGAACAACTAAATAATTCTAGTGTCACACAAGGAAAACATGGTTTATACCCAAGTTGGGCTAAAACCTGCAATACCCCAGGTTGTCAAACAGGCACTTTAATACTAGGGCACCCATCTCCTTAAATATAATCATACCAGTCATCCAATTTTGGTGTTCATTTTGGCATGAATGAAAACATCTGCCTGGTTAATAGCCAAAAGATACACTTCTCCGAAAGAATCCCTTGAGTCCTTTGAGGAGGATACCTTATTTTCTACATTTAACACAGTCACACAGTATAAGGTTTTATAATGACTTTCCAGCTCAGGTATCCCTCGATAAATGATGTCATGCTAAAGCAGGATCATCAACGTTTTGTAACTATGCTAATGACACCTTTCAACTTACATATTTATTTTGTCGATACATTTGCCCGTATTTAAGCATGGGCCTGAACTGCACTCGTCTATATTTGTCTCGCAGTTATCTCCCGTTATTCCATCAATACAGTCACATGTGTAACTGTTTACACCATCTACACATGTTCCGTTATATTGACATGGATTGGACGCGCACTCATCAATATCTGTTTCACAACGCCAGCCTGTTTACATGATATACAAAATACAAATGTAATGATCATTCAAGAACACGTTTTAATTTAAACATGTCACATCATAGATAAATGTCATTTTAAAGCCTAAAAGTTCCTTATTTAACATACATGTATTATGTTATATTTCAACATTGAGGATATTTAGCTTAACCATAAGTCATAGAAGATCAATGATAAAAGTGACTGTTACACAAAATGCTAAATTCTGCCAGTTGGCCGAGATGGTCACTGGATCACTGGCCAATTTTATATGAAATTTTATCATGAATTTGAACAAGTCATCAAAAACCGACATAAAAAACAAAATTGTCAAGGAGGTCTACCTGGCGCATGCCATAGCCCTTTCATAAACACAATAATCGGGAAAAGACTTCAATAAGCATAAGGTGCTTACAGTCTATTTATGAGCTTTTATTTTAGCACATCAGACATATTGATTCTAACCTAAACAATTATCTCCTTATCCATCGTATCTAAAGAAAACAGCCTTTTTACTCAATTATTCATTAATTTTTTATTTGGTTTTAAAAGTACATTTTGTATTACTCATCAATATAAAAGGATAAAAAAATGCTAGCCTTCAATCATTTTTCAGAAGTAAAAAATATCAAAAGTCAAAACATAAAAGAAACTGAAACAAATAGTGATGTTAGCACTAAAATCTTACCTTCATATCCTGGGATACAGTCACATGTAAAGTTGTTGATAAGTCCCCGACAAGATCCACCATTCTTACATGCTGGTGGATCCCTGTTTACCACCTCGTGTATGTTACAATATGAAGTTGACACCTCACAATTCAAACCTGAAAGCATCATTTTAAATACTTTATGATATGTTAGAATTCTAATGTACGTTCTGCAAGTCATCACGAAATACAACAAGAGCTGTTGTTAGGACAGTGTGCGACTTTTCTCAGGCTTGATGCCTGGATAATGTAGAACTTTCTAGGTTTAAAAGGGCCATAATTATGTCAAAATTCATGAATATTGACATACTTAAAACAAATGAGTAGACAAATTTATCGTTCAGCCCAAAAACCTTCTCGTCTATCCCCTTCGTAAAATATGATTATGTAATAATGATAATACTTCAACCTCGGTTGTCTTGAACTACAGATCTATCTAACAAATTTGCACAGGCTGCTCACAAAATCATAGAACAACTGCCCACAGACACATGACTGAAATACTGTTTCAAATCTGGTCCAAAATCAAACAAAACAAAACTTCATCGCCATGACATAAGTCTTTCCACTAAGCCAAAAAGACCTCAAAGATTCATGATTTCTTTATTGAAGGTTCAGTACAGCACTAATGTTACACAAATAATAGTCAAAGTATAAAGTGGATATGAAATTTGGCCCTGAACTGATATATTGTATATTAAAAGCCTGTAACAGAAAAGCGGCATTTCTTTATTCCTTATTTTATGATTTACAACCATTTTGCAGCAGGTGGTTGAAATGTAAATAGTTTATTTAATCAAGATATTGATATTTTCTTACACAGCTGCAATTTTCATATTGACTAGATTTTTCTTTAGCATGAGATGACATTATGTACATGTAGTAAACAAACACAGGCAACAGTTGGTCCTTGTTATATCAGAACCTATACATGAATATGAATATGGGATTTTTATAGTATTACAGTTAAACCTGTGTTATTAACATGTCATAAAGCAGCTCTCCTGCTATACTGGAGGACATCAGACGTCAGCTGTGGTGCCATATATCATTTCAGGTACAAGTAGGACCCCAAACCTTCAATAAACTAGCTGGATAGTTTCCTCACATGAATAAACCAAAACTGCCCTAAAGAGGCTTGGACCCATAGAGTTCAGAGGCTTTGGATTTGACACTGGCATCATTAACAACTATGCTATATCGTTTCAATATTAGAGGATGCTAAAATTAAGATTGATAACATGTCACTAATGGCCATTATTTCATTAACGATACTAATGGAACAAGAATAAAGCAAAGAACTTGTGCTAACAGACCACTTCATAAATAAGACCAGACTTATGATACTCATTTTCCATTTCACAAGATTACAGAACTAATGGTTATCATAGGCAAGTTTTCGTGTATAATCATATTAATGTCAAGTTGTATGGATTTTTTCTCTCAACTTATCAATCACAGCTTGAAAATACATGAACAGCATATTGTAGACCTTGTCATCTGTCAACTGTTTTACAGACAAACCTGTCAAAAATGACCAAAACAGTCACAAGACAGTGGACTTGGGAGGAACCATTGGAGGTTGAAATCTGAGCAACTCAGACACCACATTTGAGAGACCTTAACATTTTCTGTCTTAAATGATAAATGTAGAGATGTCATAGTGGTGACTACTTTGATAAGTATAACCATGTTAACATCATCATAAGTAGGTCACTCATATTTTTTTTGCTATTTCCTGCATTATAAATATTATATATAATATCTACTTATAATTTTTACCTGGGTTACATGCCACCATTAAATATGTTTCAAGACAGGTACATTTAACTGAAGTTTTGCTACAAAACAGTAATTTTTGTTGAAGCCAAGTAATGTGTGATAAATTTGTATGTAAATAGGGAAATTTCATTGTTCATATCATTAACATGTTTATTTTTACTCAAGTCTACTGCCACCTTATTATATCTTTAAATTCTATATAAGTAGGCAGGTAAGCAGAACTTTTGTATTAATTTTGTATTAATTGTTAAAACCATGTTTTGTATGATAGAACAATGTATAAATAGGGAAACTTCATTGGTGTTCAAAATATTTTTTATTTGAATGAAAGATAATATTGCCCTGCAACAAAATATCTATATAAATGAACACAGAATATATCTTAGAATACTAACCTGAGAAATAGTTCCCATCCGTATGTCGGCCACATTTACACTGGAATGTTCCATCTTCATTCTCGCAGTCGCCACCGTGCAAACATATTGACGGTTCAACAAGACATTCATTAATGTCTTGTTCACAATTTGTTCCATTATAACCAGTCAGGTAGTTCCAAGTACGATCATTTTGCGAGTCTGTTACGCTAGCAAGTCTCTGGTTACATTGGCAGGTATATTTACCGATTTCGTTGATACAAGTTCCGCCATTCTGGCACGGTGAGCTTTGGCATTCGTCAATATCTGTTGTACAATCCTGACCTTCATAACCTATGTAAAAATGTATCAACAGAAAATATATAAACACTCGGTTCATGTTTAAACTTTTAGAAGATATCCTTTAACATCACTGAAGTAAATAAAATCCCTGTTCATTTTCAGCTGTGACAATCGTTATAACAATCCTTACACCACTCCTCCAATGAGAACATATCCAAATTTCAAAGACACCTTGTTTATATATACTTAGGAACAGTCTCTTAATTTTCAGAATAATTTTTATTCTCTTTTTTTATTTCAAATTTTTCACATCATTTTTTCAGACAGTCCCACACTTTTGTAAACTCCAGTCAAAATTATGTCATTATCCCAGGTAAATAAGGAAATACAATATTCACCTCTCCGACCTATATTTATTTTCCCCGCTAGATAATAATCATAATTATAAGTCCTGTATAACAAAAGGTATCCAAATATTCACACAACTATTCAAGCTTTCACTATCTAGGTTGTCAAATCAGATAGTAACATAATTTTATCATAGACCTCGAGGGCGAATAATTCATAGTATTCAGTTTTGTTGAAACTTTAAAATGAGACAGTTGTCACAATATCTCTAGTCATTTGACTTATAAAATGCTATATGTAACCACTAGAGATTTTATGATAAGACCTGCACTAAGAGCACTATTTGTTTCACAATTTATGTTAAAGCCACATCATATCACTATATATAATATTGGTTTCCATTAAAGCATGAAAAAAAGCTGAACATGTAAAACTCTTGAAGTTAATTATCCAAATAAACACACTTTTTACAGTGACAGTTTATAGGTATGTTTTTTTATTTGTGTTTTTTTTTCTTAATTTGGCAAATTTAAAAGCTATAAATTTTTGCAATTTAGAATCTGGTAATTTAATTCAAACAATTCATTTCAAAGGATATTTCTTTTTCTTTAAAGTCTTATAAATCCTAGAATATTCTCTATATATGTCCATATGTCTATATTTATTCCTACTTTAGATTTTACTGTTTTCAAACACTCTTAAACTGCAATAAGCATGTAACACTGCAGAAGTTATACCCTTTTATCTGAGACCAAATTTAGACGCCCAACTTCCCTGTGGTTTGTTATCTTAATTTACTATAGACACAATGCACTTTGGGATTAGTTTATCTTTAACAATTTAAAGTATGGATAATTTTCCACTGGATTCTGTGCCCAGTGAATTTGATAAAATAAATAAACACAGCCATTTAACATTGCCATACTTTTATCTGACTTTTAGTAAATAGTGAATTACGACAATTTCAATTTTATCAAATGCTACTTTTCATTCACTTTAGAGAAACACTACTGTAGTAGTATTATTGCAGTATTATTATAGTGGTAGTACCAGGATAAAGATTTGGAATTTTAGACAGTCCATTTTCTATTTGGAAAAAATAATTTCAAAATACAAAATGTGAATGCCAACAATACTGTCCAGTTAGACAAGATTCCTGTGCACTCGAAAATTTGTGTTAATTTTTGTCTCTTATAAAAAAACCTTATTTTCAGATGAATAAAAAATGAATGTTTTATGGCCATAAAAATCCCATATAAATTTTTGTTTTTATAAATGCATAGCATTACAGCTTATTCATCTTTTTAAAGATTTAAGAACTGCAAAAATAAATAGATAAATACACTTAGGCATTTACAGTAAATCTATTTTATTATCATACATTGCATATCAGTAATTTATTATATCCTCCATATATTATCATGTTATATTTGTTTCTTCAGTAATCATATTTTGTCTTAAGTGTTTACTTAATCCCTGTATTTTACAAAATACCTCTAGATTGGTCTTTACTAATAGTTTAAATATGCACTTATTTATTATATTTGTATTATCACATATGATAATGACTCGGAAGATTATCAGAGATATATATTAATATAAAACAAGTTTTAGTGAATGTACTGACTTAACCTTTTCCCTGTTATATAAGCGTGTTTCGACGGCTTTTTGCCCCCCCCCCCTTTTGAGGCCTCAAACAGTGAAAAATGCCCTATTTAGGCCCCAAACACTGTTTTTCGTTTGAGAAATGTTGTTAAAAAAAGTGACCACTTTTTCGGCGCCGTCCCCCATCCAAATATTACATCAGGGGGTTGCCAGAAGGGGGATGTGCCTCAGGTCGATCATAGGGTAACTAGTAACCAACGCTGAAAAGTCTTTTACTCTATCTCAATTCATTGAGAAGTTGCAGCACTTTGAAATCAGTTTTGATGGAAAAAAAACAATGCAAAATAGTGATTTTTGGCAATTTTGAGACGTCCCCCGTTGCCATGGTAACAGGAAATTTACCATTGAGCATGCTGTTACAGAGGTTATGGTGTAGTCAACATTTGTGCCAAGTTTTCTTTAGTATTGAAGCATTTTTCACAGTTTCATAGCAGTTTGAACTTGTTACAGGAGGCTTTTCGATGAAAACAGCCATTTTTCGCAATATGCTCATGGGGTAAAAGGTAAAGTCTTTATATACAGTAATAAATCAGTTTGTCAAATATGAAATATAGCATAAGTTTATTTAGAATGGAACAGTTTGTATTGAACATAAAGCACTGATATACCTACAGGAAAAGACATAAATTATGTAAATTAATGCAGTTTATAGTCTATGTTTTATGCACAGGGCATTGCTCTCGTACATAAAAATCCTTCTACCGGTATCAATCTGCCTTAGAAGTCTTATCACTACCCAGATGGAAGACCAAATGGCAACATTGAATTATACTCATTCCCTTTAAGGGTACCCATGTACATCTCAGTGAAATGAAGCAATGTGTAAATTGACATAAGCAGTTTCCTTGATGACTGAAAAGATTTTATCAGTTTGGTATTAACCGACACCAAAATTTACTCTCTTAAAAAAACACCATATATATAATGGATGAGGAGGAATATATCTACTTTCTTATACAAAACTGATTCCCTTAACACTGCAACATTTCTATGATATTATCACCAATATAGTCAACCCTTACTATGCTAATCATCTTATTTGGACTTGTCCACCTTTAAATCTAGACAAAACAATTCAATCTTAGGGTAAATTTCAAAATAAGTCAACTGAAAGAATAGTGAACAGTGCAGACCAAGATCAGACTGCAGTGGTCACATGGGTAGATTCAGATGCCAACAGCATGCTTACAAAAGTGTGGTCTTATTACTGGTATTTCAAGCAAATTGTTTTATTTAAGTGATATACTTTTAATTTACTGTAATTTGGTAATATAGAGAACTTATTGAGAACTTTATACCCATTGTATGCTGGCAACAATAATTTGAAAGACCTCTTGAGTCAGGACAGACTTAGAATTTTAAGGCTTCACAATTTTGATAAACTTTCAGAAATCCCTTCAACTTGAAATGGACTGTTCCAAACTCATGACAGGGCAAGTTCATTGTATTAATATTAGATGACTAATACATACAGTTGACTCTCAATAAGTCAAAATCGCTTTACTAAAAATTCCGCGTTAGTCGAAGAATTTCTAAAGTCCCGCAATTTTCCTTCTTTATCTTTGTATTTTAACTCCGCTTAGGTCAAATTTTGACTTACCGAGACTCCTGTTTAGTCGAAAAGAAAATTTGGTCCCGTCAATTAAAGTCCAACATATTTTCATTTCAATTAGTCGAAGTGTGAAAACAGACGACTGATCAAAGGTCGGCGACATCAAGGTGAGATGTTGTCACTCGTGATTTACACGTTTCATAGTATTTTTTAATTGGTCATCACGTATTATTAACACGTCGTATAAGTGGCTTTAATCTGTTTCAGCACTTAATTGGTTTTAACAGTTAGATAACTAAATTAAAATTTAATTACATTTCTTTAAGAAAGTTGACTCATGCCAGTATGACGGGTGTTAGTCAAATAACAGCCAAGGTATTGATGTGTGTTATCAACGTAAATGACATTTGTATAATTAATATTCCGTCATTTTGCATACATTTATTTGTACTTTCGGTTCACGATAGTTGCTACTTTCGTTTTCGTCCGATGATCAATTAAATCAAATATAATTGTATGTTTATGTTTCACTATTTATATACTGTATTAAAATTTTGAATGATATATTTTTGTTCATTATGATTTGTAGTTGTAAGTAAGTTACCGTCATTTCAACGGTTAAATATTGCAGCATTGCCGCTAACAACAATAACAAACCTACTTCTTTGCACATTTAATCAGGCACATGTATATATACATGTACGACTGTCAACGTAATTGCGGCAGTTCCACGTTACTCGAATTCCGTTTCTCTCGAAGTAAAATGCCCAGTCCCTTGGATTTCGAGTTACCGAGAGTCAACTGTATATGTAACTCCCCTTAAACTACATTGTTATCTGCTATAAATTATATCATTACTGTATATAGGAACATAAATATTTGCACTGTGAATGTTCAACATGACTTTATCACTAATAGCTCTAACTTATGCAACAAAAAGGCCATATTTTTGAGATTAAATCAGCATTATTTTAAGATCCGATACATTTTTATTTCACTTTTTAAAATCCCACCTACAAACACTTCTTATCAATTATTATCATATAAATTTAGACTGCTAACTTAAGTGACATCATACTAAAATTTTGACAATATATCCGACAAGGTTGAATCCTTTTTGTTTTATTGAGGTATTCATGAGGACAAATTTACCAAACCTCAGAAATCATCCTCAATGGACAGCATTCACTTCTGAATACACTGCAATACAATGTAGCCCCATAGGTTTTACATAGAAATAACTTAATATTGTTAATGAAAACTTTTCAGGATAACACAAATATGCATGCAAGAATTCACTTTTGGTCAACAGTATCAAATATTATTGGAGTAATTTGCAGGTATTTTACATGAATATTTTACTTTCCTCAGCTAGAGATGAGAGTCACTTTTCTACAGCTAAATTTGAATAATGGATTTGCCTGGTTTTAAATTTAAAACTGTCCAGGAGTAATTTAAGGGATTTTAATATCATAAGTTTAAATTAAGAAGCTGAAAGAATAGAGTATTGTCTCACACGTCTACAGATTGGTCTGACAGATTCTCTGGAATAGATCAAGTCATTATTTGTGCTAGCATTCAAAGAATTACACTGATAAACCCTTGTCTAGCTGGAAGCAAATGATAAACTAATTTACTATCAGTATAGTGTCAGGCCAGCCAGCACATCCCCACAGTCTGACAATGCTCTATACTGTTTGTTACTTTACTTTTAATTTTCATATTGATACCCCCAAAATTGAAAATTGACAGTTCCGAATATGGAAGTTAGTCAAGTTGTATATCCTCCAAAGATACTTTTGTTTCGCTCCAATAAGAATCTTTAGCAAGAGGATACATTGCTGAAAACAATATTTCAAAATTTTCGTTTGCTTCCTCATATGTATATATTGTTTCTATGTTAAAAATTATTTACCTTATTTATATTATTTATCAATTCTGTGTTTATTCAATATTTGTTACATTTATATAATTATACATGTATTTATATGTTTGTCAGTCATACATTTATGTACATGTAATGATTTGAAATGTATTGTATATGTACGTACTCTTCAAAACTGGAGGAAATAAAGAAATATATATTTAAGAAAAACAGCAGGTAAAGGGCTTAAACACAAACCTAGCCTTTCTTTATCATGCTTTATGTTGCTACTCAACACTTCTCTTTATGCTCTCAAAGCTGATTTAAACTGAATATTTGCCATTAAAAGCACATGTCTTAAAAGCACATATCTGTAGCATATTTCAATTGCACTATTATGCAAGTTCCTTAACAAAGCATTATAATCAGTGTTTTCCTAAAAAAAAAAAGCCGCTCTAATAGCGCGGATTCTACAAACAAAGCACATTGAGTTTTTCAAAAATGCAATTCAAGGGCTCATTACAAATACTGTCATATCTCAAAGGCCAGAGTTCTCTCCCCTGCTAAATATGTATAATGGACTGGTCCTGCTTTGAATTTCAAAGTGTTCACAGTTTAAAGGATTTTGTTCACCATCTCCATAAGAAAAGTGTGAAGCAAATATTTTAGAGTACGGTCAGAATGCTGGGATGTACAGGTAGGTCTGGCCCAATACTGGTTACATATAAGGAAAGTCATTATAGCCACCAGTATAACAACCTGGTTGCTTCAAAGATAAGTTACATATTAAAGTGACAGTATTTTGCACTGAACCCTTGTTTGCTAATTTCACTTCATTCAACTTTTATATTAACTTAACTGAAATCTTTCAAAAGGAGCACTTTTATCAACATCTCTATACAATATCATATACAATATTTTATGTCTAAATAATAGATTTAAAAATGTTATATACTAATTCATGCTTTTACGAGGAATTTAAGTTTTCTAAACAAATTTATTTTAGTTCCATTGTGTTGAAAGCTATAAGATTAATGAAACACTCTTGAAACACTCTCGAATCTGTTCCTGGAACCAACCAGTACTAAGCAATTCTTGCTCATGGAAACAATGACATGCCCCTGAAAGGGTTTAAACACATGTGGTCAGTAATCCCTAGATTACTAGTCCCACATGTTAATCATTCAGCCATGCCACCAATTTCTGACTGCTTTTTTACAAGTAGATGACTCTGTTTACATTCATGCAGACACATGCCAACACCTCAGTAGAACCATTTATCTTACATAAACTAGCTCGATAGCTTCCTCATCTGATAAAAATCCTTGAAACAATGGTAAGTGACGGGCAAGAAAATTTTTTTCATGTCTCATTATTCCTTTTAGTGTTACTCATTTTTTTATCATAAAATGCTGCATTATCATGACTGACTCGACAATTTGTTATTTAACATGCTCAACTCATGCCAAATTATAATACAAACAACAATAACAACAGTGACATAATACTGATTCCCAAGCCTGACAACATTGTGACAGTTAAGACAACACTGTGATGGCATGCATGAGAAAATCAGGCAGAAAATGCATCCAAGCTAGAAAATCATCAAGAAATTCATCTACACTAACCTTCAACTATGCCTTTAAAGAGAAGACAGGTGATATAAAATATACAGTATAATGACTCCACTCTCAGGAAAAACAAGATTTTATTTCATATACAATATCATAACATTATGATGTCTTATGAGGGCCTTTGGTTTTTTTGCAGTTATCTCCCTTCAATTGGGAATGACAAAATGTATGAAAAGGGAACTAGGTCTAGAATGTTCAATGCAAAGCTAACGTATCTAGTTCATTTTGTTGGATTGATTAACAGTCATTCAGACACTTAGATATCTTCTTCATAACAGAAAATTTATCATAACTAATGGGACGATAAATACAACACCACCAATAAGGGGCCAGTGGTAATTACAAATTTTATAGAAAAGAAACAGAATGATGTTGTGATAAACTGCTTGATATTTGTAAACTTTTGAGACATTACAACATGTTGATATGTAACTAGGTACAGCACATAGAGTTGTCTAACCATGATGAGTGATATTATAGATATCATTGTCAATATGAGTGAAAAGTTAAGAATAGAATTTAGATACATCTATGATAACAGAAAAATTATGATAAAGGAAGTTTTAGTAAATTAATAAACATGTACATGAATGTTCCCATAACTTACCTAACGGACAAGCACATCGGTAACTGTCGACTTCATCAAAGCAGACGTGAGGTAGCGTACATGGGTTTGGCGTACAATCGTCTATATTAGTCTCGCATTGATTCCCTGTAAAACCTGTTACACACGTACAACTCAAATCATGTGACGGGGGCGTGGATATACATGTTGCACCATTTTTACAATTTTGAAACACAGGACTACATGCATCAAACTGAACAGAACAATCAGTACCCATCCAGTCTGGCGTACATGTGCAATGATATCCATTAATCCTATCCGTACACACTGCACCATTCTGACAGGGATCCGAATTACACTCATCTATATCTGTTTGACATTTGACACCTAAAATAGTAATAAATATCAAAATTAACACTATGTAAATTGTAGCTTAGTAAAGTATGTGTATACAGTGTTCTTTCAATGATACTGCAATAAAAAGCAAATTAAGAAAATGAGATAATGTGACTTATAAATCTGATATATATCACAGGCACTCTGGATTAAAACCATAGAAATCAGTTTTTCACAATACGTTAGAAGAGACTCATACCAGAATATCCAGGTTTGCAGGTACAGTTGAAGAATCCTATACCATCTGTGCAGGCAGTGCTGTTAATGCCACAAGGGTTTGGAGAGCATTCATCCACTTCTGTCTGACAACGAGGCCCTGTGTAACCTATCACACATACACAACTGTACTCGTTAACCTAAAAAATACAACAAGAGGGCCATGATGGCCCTGAGGTCGCTCACCTGTATATAGCCCCCCCCCCCGGCCCAATTTTTTTCCCAAGGGCTTTTATTTGTTTATTTGAACAGACTTGGTAGACACCCATAGGAAGTTGTTTCATGCAAAACATCTAAGTTCTAGCTCATTGGGTTTTTTAAAAGAAGATTTTTTAAGTTTTTACTATACACATATAGTTAAAAACAATGACACCCCTCGGGCAGGGCCAGTTTTGACCCCTGGGCTTTTATTTGAACAAACTTTGTAGATATTTACTTAAAGATGTTTCATGCTTTATATCTAAACTGTAGTTATTTGGGTCTTTTCAAAGAAGATTTTTAAGTTTTTGCTATGTATATAAGGAAAATCAATGACCCCCGGGGCGGGGCCAGTTTTGACCCCAGGGCTTTTATTTGAACAAACTTGGTAGACACCCATTCGAACATGTCTCATGCTAAATATCTAAACTCTAGCTATTTGGGTTCTTTAAAAGAAGATTTTATAAGTTTTTACTATATGCATATAAGGAATATCAATGACCCCCTGGGGCGGGGCCAATTTTGACCCCAGGGCTTTTATTTGAACAAACTTGGTAGACATTCACTAGAAGATGTTTCATGCCAAATATCTAAGCTCTAGCTCTTACGATTTTTTAAAAGAAGTTTTTTTAAGTTTTCACTATATACATAAAAGGAAAAGCAAATACCCCAGGGGTGGAGCCATTTTTGGCCAAAGGGCTTTTATTTGAACAAACTTGGTAGACATTAACTAGAAGATGTTTCATGCCAAATATCTTAGCTCTAGCTCTTACAGTTCTTTAAAAGAAGATTTTTTAAGTTTTTACTATATGCATATAGGGAAAATCAATGACCCCCTGGGGCGGGGCCAATTTTGACCCCAGGGCTTTTATTTGAACAAGCTTGGTAGACATTTACTAGAAGATGTTTTATGCCAAATATCTAAGCTCTAGCTCTTACAGTTCTTTTAAAAGAAGATTTTTTAAGTTTTACTATATGCATATAGGGAAAATCAATTACCCCCCAGGGTGGGGCCAATTTTGACCCCAGGGCTTTTATTTGAACAAACTTGGTAGACATTCACTAGAAGATGTTTCATGCCAAATATCTAAGCTCTAGCTCTTTGGGTTCTTTAAAAGAAGATTTTTTAATTTTTTACTTTATGCATATAGGGAAAATCAATGACCCCCTGGGGCGGGGCCAATTTTGACCCCAGGGCTTTTATTTGAACAAACTTGGTAGACATTCACTAGAAGATGTTTCATGCCAAATATCTAAGCTCTAGCTCTTACAGTTCTTTAAAAGAAGATTTTTTAAGTGTTTACTATATGCATATAGGGAAAATCAATGACCCCCTGGGGCAGGGCCAATTTTGACCCCAGGGCTTTTATTTGAACAAACTTGGTAGACACTCACTAGAAGATGTTCCATGCCAAATATCTTAGCTCTAGCACTTACAGTTCTTTAAAAGAAGATTTTTTAAGTTTTTACTATATGCATATAGGGAAAATCAATGACCCCCCGGGGCGGGGCCAATTTTGACCCCAGGGCTTTTATTTGAACAAACTTGGTAGACACTCATTAGAAGATGTTTCATGCCAAATATCTAAGCTCTAACTCTTAGGGTTGTTTAAAAGAAGATATTTAAAGATTTTTCTTTTGGTTACCATGGCAACCAGAGTTCTGCATGGAATTAAATTCTTTGAACAATTTTTAAAGGTGACCACCAAAGGAACATTCCTGTGAAGTTTGGATGAAATTGGCTCAGTGGTTTATGAGGAGATGTCTTTTAAAGCAAAAGTTTACGGACGGACGACGGACGGACGGACGGACGGACGCCGGACGAAAAGCGATCACAAAAGCTCACCCTGTCACAAAGTGACAGGTGAGCTAAAAAGAAGTCACTACTAAAATGATGATGTAACAACAATAACCTTTATAATGGCCATAATTTTGGAGTAGGCCAAAAGTAACCTGGTTGTGTTTTAAGTCCATTTCATCTGGTTTAGAACTTATACAAATATTCCATTTGAGTCAAAGGTGAAGGTCACAGGGCATCAAACATTAAAATATGTCATGCATGGGATTGATAAAGCCATGGCTTGATTTATGGATTGATAAAGCCATGGCTTGATTTATAGACATGCCATCCTAACAGATTATGAATATTTTGAAAGACAGGAATTAAAATATTGAATAATCAATACCAGATCAATACAAGTTCCACCATTTATACATGGTTGACGGGCACATTCATTTATGTCAGTCTGACACTCGTTTCCGTTGTAACCCAATACACAGTCACATCTGTATCCATTCAACAAGTCGACACATCTGAAATACAAGTAAATACAATTAGTTACATCTCTAATAAAATCTACAGCCTAGCTTGCGATGAGTGGCCCCTGCATGTATGAGCATTATACGATCAAACAATTTGCTGTCATAAGACATAGAATGTTAAAATGTGATAGGACTCAATTGAAAAATTAAAAGAAAATAACCTAACAAGATACACGTATTAATCAAACAAGAAATTTACCCCGTGTATAAAAACCTTATGAGGCTATGTCTTTTTATACATCACTTGCATTACAAACTAGTGTCTGGTAGTTCTTCTTTTTGTGAAATTTAGGAACAATTCACATTGGATACTATTTGTGGTAATTACATAAAATTCATTTGTTTGATTTCTAGATATTGAAAATATAACATACGTTGCTCCATTTTGACATGGGTTTGAAGTACATTCATCTATATCTGTAGAACAATTCTTATCCCCGTACCCAGGCACACAACTACATGTATAGTTGTTGACTAAATTCTGACATGTGGCACCATTCCGGCATGGTGTGTACTCCTGACACTCGTCTATCTCTACACACTGCGGCACAGTACCTAAAATATGACAGACACAATACATGTATATAAAAACATGTACATCCCCATTCATTAAACTAAAGTCAGCAAAGAATGAAGAGTAACAACATGTCACCATTCTAATATGTTAAAATAAATTATTAATTTCTACTAGTTACCATCATAACAATGCTCATGATTCTCATTCATCAAAGCTTGACTGTGAAGGAGGCATAATGCTTATTTGACTCCCTTTCAAATCTCCACCCTTGTTTTATTTTATTGGACATGACAACACTATTATACTGCAACTTACTAGATTCACTGGAGGAGAAACACCTCAAGTGCCCCTTCATGGATTATTACCGGCACTGAGTGGGCACTTGAGTAGTACCACTGACTTTTTGAAGCTAGCTGGATTGCTTCCTCACATGATAAAATCATCCCTGTGGGGCAAGTGACTTAAGTTGGCAACATTAACGATTCAGTCATGGAGGCCCAGCCGGCATTCCCAACCAGTAAGAAACCATGGACATGATCCTAATGAGGCTTGAACCCAAAATTACTGGGTTATGAGGCAGACACCTTAACCACTACATCATATCTGCCAATATTTTCTTATTATTAACTTTTAATAGAGACAGAATACATTATTTTTATCTTTGATTATTTATCATGTTGAGAAATTCACAGTATTGTCACTATACATAACTACACATCTTTGCAGTCTGACCAGGCTTTTTACTAATTGTAGCTCTTTTTTTCTATTTTGATACTGGAATTGTTGATTTTTTAAATGGTCCAGTGTTCTACATTCATTTTGCAGGGCAAATCCTGCAGGTTTAAGGTTTAAAAAATTCAACTTAATAATACTAAATACATAAGAAAAACAGAACTAAATACCTCTGTATCCTGGTTTACAAACACATGTATGATTGTTGACCCCATCTTTACACTCGGAGAACTGTCCACCACATGTAATTTGCCCCAAATGCTATATCTGTCTCAACTTTATCCCGTATACCCTGTAACATACACAGTTAAGGGGAATCTCGATTCTGACATTGGCACCTTTTCTGACACGGTGTGACGGGCATTTTTTTAGTCTGAAAATAGGACACAAAAATTAAATACTTTAAAAAGGATTATTCCCTCAATTTCATTGTTATTTTTTGGTTTGTAGTTTTACTCCTGAATTTGTGAAAAGGGACAAATTTCATTCATATTCAAGTACATGTTGCCTCATGAGTTGTTTCCCTTGCTCTAGGACTATATTTAGCGATGCAATAGTGTATATATTTGGTAGGGGCATTGTATCGGAGGGTAAAATGGGGCAATTTTACTGGCATTTCACAATAATTGACAATATGTGTCAGAGGAGTATTTTACTGGAATTTAAGAATAACTGGTAAAAGGATTTTCTAAACTAGGTCACTGTATGACAAGAATAACTCACCTGACACTTGGGTCCAAAATAACCATCTTGACACACACAAGTAAAACTACCAGGATTGTTGAAACATTGTCCCGTACCACATATACTTGTGTCATTACATTCATTTATATCTTCCTCACAAAGTGTTCCATTGTAACCTGGCAATACAACAATACAACGTCCAATGTTTAACAGATAATTTCAATGCGCAATAAAAAAATACCATGCTTAAATTACAAGTATTCTAAAGTATTTAAATTGAAGATAAGAATTAGTTATAGTTCTGAGATCTTAAAGAGCTTAAGCCCTCTTGAACAGTAGATGTCCTTCTGAATGTTGGAGAGTACTCAGCTAAAGTTGAAGCTGGCATGTCAAGAAATCTGTTACACGTAACAAACGTCTGACAGTTGGTTAAATTTCACAATATAAGTATTATGCTGTGAACAGTGCAAAAGAAGTTTTTGGTACCAATTTTTTCACCTTTTTTTTTTTTTTTCTTCCATGCTCCAAACATTCATGGCAACCTTCACATCCATGCAGTCTATTTACTGAAGACTGCCTCCTTTTTTTAAAAATCTGTGTCAAACCATTTATTTTGCTGTGAAACTAATCCTAAATATTTCATCAATAGCATTTTCCACATTTTATGTAAACCTGTATTTTCAAGAGTGAACATTTTCTTAAAGTATTATTAAGATGTTACAGGAAAAACAATCTAAAATGATACCTGAGCCAGTGCAGTTACACTCAAAACCTCCTACTTTATCAATGCACTGTACATTATTATTACAGGGATTGGTACCACACTCATTGATGTCACCTTCACAGTTGGTACCAGCAAATCCTGAAATAGATTATAACATTTATATCAGTAGTGTCATTCCAGTGGCGAGAGGGAGTTGTGAGCAGGAGCAGTTTAGGTTTGGGGATTATGACGTAATGTTAATCTTTTGAAGTGGTCTTCGAGTGTACTTGAGAGGTAGAATATCCTTTTGAAGTGGTCTGCCAATGTACTTGAAAGGTAGAATATCCTTTTGAAGTGGTTTTCAATGGCACTTGAAAGGCAAAGTGTCCTTTTAAAAGATGTTTAATTAAAAATAAAGATGGCGGATATTTGCATAATTAAAAAATAAAGATGGCGTTTTAGTTCCGTAGTGAAAAACAAAGATGGCGGATAGTTTACCTGGCAACCAATGGGGAGAGTGATGCATGAATGAGTGATTATAGGCAGTATGTGTGTGTATTGAAATGTTTTTCTCAATAAACATTATTATTATTATTATAAACGGGGTCAGTTTTTACTGACCACCATTAAATTGGAAATGGCTACCGCCCGACAGCGTGTGTCTATATCTTTGAGCAAGACTGGAGAAATTTCACCAGAACGGGAACCTTTTAAAATCTGTGAGGAAAGTGACCTTCAGGGCGGCCGGGCGGTCTCTAGCGACTGCGTGGTTTGCGGCAATAGGCTGCCTAAGAACCGCGTTACTTTCATCGCTCAAATAGTCGCCATATACGGAATAATAATCGTGTCTGCGGTCATCTTTCGATCAATTTCCGGGTCAAATCAAGAACTCTGGATTGCTCTACTCAGTTCGGCCGTCGGCTACGTGCTGCCGAGTCCCGGACTTAAGTACAGAAAAGCCAAAGCGGACATTCGGACCAACCCTTTAGGATGAGGGACAGTAAATGGTGGAACTGAAACCAAGTTCGAGTATCTCGGTAGATCGAGAAGGCAGATTCAAAATAAGCAGAAAAGAAATAGTTTCATTCCCGGAGTCTCAGGACACGTACAGTACCAACAGACCGGTTCACATATTGCTCAGCAGCCGGTCTAAACATTCATTTATTCAACACTTATGATAAGTCAGCTTTACTATTTTGATTCTGAAAGGAGATATTTTGATGCTTATTCTAACTGGATTGTACGAAAAGGAGCATGTTATAATAGCCTTTATGAATCTTTTTAAATTGAATTAAAGATGGCGATTAGCCATTCGAGTTATTTTTAAATAAGATAAAAAAATGGCGTCTTATTGGAGGGAGATTCCTTTGGGGTTTATCAAGTATGTATCGAAATATATCTCGATACTCAAAATAGGCGGCAGAATGTCTGTCATTATAATAATAACAACGGTTATTATTATTATGATTATGATGAAGATTATTATTATTATCATTTTATTATGAAAGATAAAGTAAGTTTTGCTGGAAGCCGTTGCTCGGGTAGCGGCTCAATGCTTAGTCATTTTTTTTTT